CCCTGTGATGAATCTGTTGGACTCTCCGGTGGCCTCGCCATGGCCAGGAGTTGATGGCGAGCAAGGGTGTCCGCTGTGGAAGTAGGCTCAATTGGGCTAGGACGTCCTGCACCACCAATCGAAATCACCAAACTAGCAACCATTGAGGCAGTAGGTTGGGTGAGTCAGGTGTGGAAGTTGCAAGGGGGTTGTGAGGGATGTGTCAAAAGCGCCATCTTTGCCAAGTCACCCACTTCCTTGTCATCTTTTTCAACAGCTGCCCCCCCCACCCCCTAGACTCCCAACACATGAACATGTTGCGAGTTTTTTAGAAGAGACGTGGAGGAGTAAGTTCCCTGTGTTAAATAGTAGCATGTATTTAAAACAGGGTGGAGGAGCAATTGTATTGGAGGAAACAAGCGGAGGAGCGTTACACTCCTCCACATTTTCTTGTTGTGTAAGAGAGATTATTCCGTTTCGCAAACTGTTTTGGTGTTTTTCTTGAGTAGAATTTCAGCGGAGGAGCGGAGGAGTGGTTACGAAGATGTCAATTTTGGGTGTGGGCATGGGAATTTCATGATTGGTAGAAATTTTGTTGACACGTTTCTGGCCTCAAAATAGTTTGCAATTCTTTAGACCAACCAGAACACCCCCTCAGTCACAGAGTGTATGTTTACGTTGCATTTTGGCGCCAACGTAAAGTTGAAAAGTGCAATAGAGGCAAAAAGTGGCGTGTGGAAAAGACAAGGTTTGTCGCAAGCAAGGAGGTATGTGAAATTTGATGGATGAGGAAATGGAGACGCTTTATGGCGCACTTGCGCATCCAGAAAATGAAAATGGGGGCTTCGGTTTTTCAGTTCCGCGAATGAGAAATCAGCAGATCTTTGAAGCCAATTCTGGCTTCAAAACTTGCCTTCTACGCTTCCATTTTTCAATGTTTGAAGCCAAAACTGGCCTCAAATTTGAGGCCGTTTTTGGCATCAAAAATCGGGTCGGTCTCTACGGTTTTCAAACGTGCCCTGATGGTTTGCTGGCGTCAGACTGAACCCATCCAGCCACAAAGCTGGAAAGTCACCTGGCTCAACCAAAGCTTTAGCTGTGTTTGCTTTGGTCCGATGACGTGCAGAAGCCACTTGTTGGAACTGCAGGGGCCCATGAACCGGTCTCGGAATGGCTTCGAGGAAAGAAGCAAGTTTATGGGTAGTTTCGATGTCTAGCATATGTACCCTATAGCAAAGTTTAATGTGTGAGGTGGGACCATTGAGGTAGTAGGTGTTGGGTGAGTTAGGTGTGGAAGTTGTGGGGGGTTGTGAGGGATGTGTCAAAAAGCGCCATCTTCTTTGCCAAGTCACCCACTTCCTTGTCATCTTTTTCAATAGCTGCCCCCCCTACCCCCTAGACTCCTAACACATGAACATGTTGCGAGTTTTTTAGAAGAGACGTGGAGGAGTGAGTTCCCTGTATTATATAGTAGTATATATTTGAAACAGGGTGGAGGAGTAATTGTATTGGAGGAAACAAGCGGAGGAGCATTACACTCCTCCACATGGCAGGGGTTTTCCTCTAGGCCATATCCATGCCATCATGCGAGCACCCTGCAGTTTTGCAAGTCTCCAGACACCATCGTGTCCTGTTTCAGGACGCACCGCCACCGACCAGCATGACAAGTCAGCTCCATGAAAAGAGTGACACGGTCACAAGCGCAACCCAACACTTCAAGGTGGCAAAGATGTGCGGTACTGAGAGCCAATGCTGAATTCATTGCCCCTGTTTCACCCCTCATTTTGGCTGACACGGCCTCCTGAGGTGCGCCCCAATTTGCGGGTTTTCTTTTGGGTTTGCTTTTTGGGTGTTGTTTGGGGGTTGGCGTTTGTTTTGGTGTTTTCGGGGTTGGTTTTGTGTTTGGTTGGTTTGCTTTTTTCCTTTGGCTTTTTCTTGCAGGACAAATCGCACTCTCGCCTGCCTTTCGCGCACTCGACACGCACGATCTCCGCAGAGGGTTGCGCGGGCATGGGACAAATCGCACCCTCGCCTGCCTTTCGCGCACTCGACACGCACGATCTCCGCAGAGGGTTGCGCGGGCATGGGACAAATCGCACTCTCGCCTGCATTTCGCGCACTCGACACGCACGATCTCCGTGGGGTTGCGCGCACACCGGACAAATCGCACTCTGGCCTGCACTTCGCGCACTCGACACGCACGATCTGGGCAGAGGACTGCATTTTCGGTTGACGCTGTTCGTCCCACCCTCCGCCTTTAAGGGAGAATTCATTAAAGTGGGGAAATGTTTTCATCAGGACATCTCCCGTGCAAGTTTTCCACACTCACACTTGCATTACACTTGCATACTTTTGCACTTGGACACTTGCCGTTGGATGCTTTCACTCTTCCACTTACACTGGGATACGTCTAGAAGTGCAGTCTTCATGTTCATGTTCAAGTCAGTGTGGAAGCAAGAGTGTTGAAGTGCACGTGTCGAAATGTCAGTGTTCAAGTGCAAGTGTAGAAGTGTCAGTGTGTAAGTGTTAGTGTAGAAGTGTCACTGTTCAAAAGATTTTCCAGAAGAACCCTTCGCAATGCTTTCGGGAAAAAAATTGTAGCTGAAAATTTTGCCATGGGTCCAAGCGGGCTTGATGTTCTGTGAAAAATTAAAATTTTAATTGGATCTTCGATATAGCAGCACCTACGGGTGCAAACGGTGACTCCCAGCAAACTCTCTGTCCTGTGTGGATCAGACACTACAAGCAAGCAGTTTGCCCTTTTTTTGTCCGCAAAGAACTCCTGTAAGAGTTTCCAGACGAAAAACGTTTGGAATGGTGGAGACACAAGCTTCACAACAGCGAAAAGTTTGGCGAGGACCCCCGAAGAAAGCTTGCAATGCAAGAGGCGCTTTTGCAATCTGAAGGTTTCCATCAGTTTTTTTTTGTTTTTCAGTTTTGTTTTTCCTCCATTGGACCCACCGTGATGATCAGTGCATGTTTTTTTGAACGTTTTTTGTTCTCTGATTTCCGGTCTTTGGTTGAGCTTTGTAGCTCTGCAATTTTTTGTTTTTGACCTTCATTTAACTTGAGCGCCGTTCCGGTGATCTCATGTTCTTTCACTTTGGGCGCTGCACAAGTCTCAATTGCCAGGCGGGGAAAGAATCGTTGGGTTGGGGGGAAATACTTTCAAATCACCTTTATCTTGCACTTAGTTGAACTTCGGCTTTTAAGATGTGCCATGCGCTAGTTGCTGGACAACCAGATCATTGTGTTTAAAACGGGGAACTTGTCACCAATGTCATTCAGACCGGTGGGCACAAAAAAAAAGACCAGACAACCGTTGAAGATAATGTTGATTTGTTCCGTTGTTCTTTGTTTTTTTGCGTGAACATTTGCAGACACATTGTCAGGATATGTTAGGGTCGTGCTAGGTACTTGTTGAACATTTTAGTTGTTGGCCGCAAAAAAATCGGGTGGAAACTTCTAAATTTGTCAAATATATGTTTTTTTTTTTCAATTTGTTGAAATTATTTTGAATGAACATGCAACATTGTGACATTGTTGACGATTTGTTGTTTCCTGCTGAAGTGCACCCTCGGTTCCTGCAGCTGCATTGGTTTCTTCCAAACACGCTTAGTCAGAGACTTGCCCATTGCAGAACTGGCGGGATGAAGGCTGGGCAGAACATGGAGGCTGTGAGAGCTCAGCTGACGGCCGTCCGTGCTTATATTTGCTTCGTCCGGATGCAGGTGAATGTGATGACTTTGAGTGGCGATTGCATGGCAACTTCCTTTGACCAATCCGACACCATGAGGGACCTGGCACTTTGGATCCGCCGAAACCTCAGAACACGGGTGGGACGGTGGGCAATGCGATAGGCAGGTCAACGGACATGGAAAGTGCTGTTTGTGATTTTGGTGTTCTTGGTCTTTTTGAGAGCCACAAGAGGTCGAAAGTGAGCAGTGTGCGACCAAGGAACGAAGATGGGGATTCCCGTGGCCGTTCAACACCTGGTGAAGGACGACACAGTCTTCAAGGATCCTTCCCTCCCGTCACTCGGATGCACCGTGGTCCACAAGTAAGAATGGTCTTGAGACTTGGAGGAACTCTTGTCATGTTACTTGATATCTATATACCTGGAATGACTAGAACATTTTTTTCCCACGTGAACAGGTAGAACATGACTCACTTAGCAATTTGACGGCATCCCAATTCTTTAGAAATTGTTTTGGTTATATTGAACACATGACGGTTTTGTCAGCGTTCCGTCTATGTCCAAGCAAAAGGGACTTGGTTTCAACACCCTCTCCTGTCACTATGTTTTTCAATTTCTATACATAATGACCTGCCACTAAACATGCAGCCAGAACTTGATAGAAACGCCAGGAGCTTGCTTTTTGATAGTTGTTTGAGTATGACGAGCTATGGGCTTAAAGACAACCTTACTGCTATTTGTTGATGGACAGATAGGCCGCGCTGTCTAGGAATCACGTAAGAATGTGTCCTAGAGGGATGGCAATCAGTCGATGTTTTGGATTGAGTCTGGAACTCGTGCAGGAACATAGTGCTTGTGTGAAAAACATCGGCCAGAGATCAACCAAACGGTCTGGAGCCGAGTCTGACCGTTTTTGGAGGTTTCGAGATGCCTTCCATGGAGCTGAAGAGGTGAGTGTCACGGCATCTTGGCTTTGGACGTCGAAAATACGTGGCTTCCCACTGGGAGCTCATCTTTTGGTTGGTCCAATCTGAGTGCCACAATTTGCCACGGCGAATACATTGGTAGAGGTGAGACAGACCTGGCCCAAAAGGGTAGTACAGAGCTGGGAGAAGTCGCAGACTGAGGGTCGCAGCGGTTCAGGTTCTGAGAAGGCCATACACAGCGAAGGAGCGTGAAGAGCTTTTCACCAGGCTGGAGATGCCATCCCCAACATGATCTTCTGTGTAGATCATTGTCATGATTTGCATCGTAGCCAGTCAACTGTTGGCATTTCTTCAATCTTTTCAGGCATTTGCTGGAGAAACCCGTTTTTCATGAGAATCCTTGCACTGTAGCCGGTCAATTTGCTTGCCAACATTTCCAGCGAACTTTGGGAAGTCTGCTCTTTGTACAGTACCTTTTTGGCAGCGGGGATGGCACTAGCGCAGGTTGGTGCGAGCTACAGTGGCTGGGCAGGCGACACAAATCCGTGAGCTGTTGAAGGAGCAGCACTTAGAATCTTTCAGGTAGAACATTTTAAGAGTTCAAGTTAGCGTTTAGCATATGGAAAGCTTTGCACCTCATCTTGGAGATGATCAGGTAATAATGTAAGTTTTCAACATGATTTCCATGGATTTGACATCGTGGCAGTGGGGTAGCAGCTGTTCCCAAATCCTTTCTATTGCCAGAGACCTCGGAAAGCAAAGAGTCTGTACTTGGTTCTTTCTGACGCGCGCCTCGCGTCTCTTGTACTGAAACACATCTGGGTAACGTCTATTTCGTATCAGGTAGCTGGTCTGAAATAGCAACATACACAATTTCCAGAAAATCCAAAAGATAACATTTCAATTAACACCAACATCAATGTTATGTAGGCCTCATCCAGAAAAATAATGAGAGCAACAGGCTTTCAGAATGAAAGTGAACGAAAGCAAAACAAACGCAGTTAAAATCAACATCAAAGTAAAATGAAAAGAAATGAACTCATGATGAAAGCAAGTTAACGCAAAATGAAAGGAATTGAAAGCAGAATGAAAGCAATTGAACGTAATAATGAACGCAATTTAAAGCAGAATGAAGGCAAATGAACGCAAGTCCCAAAGAGACACACTATTGAAGACCCTCCCAAACCCTTCGCCCTCCCAAAAAACAAACGGTGTGGGTGGGGCGGGGGGCCCTTTCTCACGAATCTCACATTACTTGGCAATCAATTCTACCTGTGTCCAGGAGGGAGCTCCAGTGAACTATGAGCGAGCAGGTCAAGATGTTTCAGTGCTCTCGGCTGATTTCAGTCCCGACGAACAAAGTGGCAGCTGATGCAAAGCAAGCTCCATTCCATTTCTGTGAAAAGCTCGTTTTCAATTCACAGACCCGGTGGCTAATCGGAAAGCATATTTTCGGGAGCGCCAATGAGGGCATTATCCATTGCCCTCTGAATAGCAGAGTGTACCTTTGGTTCTGTTTCACATCCTACAATTTGACAATGTGTTTTTTTGTTTGGACGTCCCCTAAATGGTTCCACAAGAGTGGAGGAACAGCGAGGAACAGCGGTGCCACCGGGAGCAAGGGGGTGGTTGGAGACCCGCTTGGGAGCTGGCATGACCCAGGTTTGCTTGGAGCACTGGGAAGAGCTTCCTGACCAGGCCCAGCCGGTCCCAGTCAAGCCTTGGCGTCATGGCACGAGACATGTTCGCACATTCGGTCGTCATGGTCTGAAGATCGCGAGCAGGTTTAGCCACAGAAGTGGATCAACTGAAGGTTTTGAGTGTCTTCAACTGGGACCCATCAAAGGAATATAGAATGTCCCTTGACTCATGCTGGGAACAATTCTGCATAGAGAGTGCAGAGCCATGAATGCATGAACTCTCATTGCTTTGGTTTGGAGCTAGTTTGTCCTTTCTTTTGGGGGTTTTGGACAGACTTTCAGTTTCTGTGTTTGTGTTCGCTTTCCTGTTGAAATCGACCTTCCCCAAGGCCGTTCGTTCAGCCCTGCTCGCGAGATGCGATGAAAGTATCGCCTGGAACACGGCTTCTTGTCAGGTTGAGGCGCCCAAGGAGTCAGTGGAGCCCGAAGCGTCGAAGGAACCCACGGCTTTTGGATTGACAGGCCCTTTGAACGCGTTATGCCATGCGTCAAGCAACGCGCTCGCGCTGCTCCATCGCGGATGCCTTTCTTTTGGTTTGCCGCCTTTTCTTTTTGGATTGCAGTATGCCGTTTCAGGTGAGGACAGCGACGAAAGCTTGGAAGAACTGAAGTCGGTTGTATCTGGTTCGGCGTCGGCAATATCAGAGGATGAGCCTGTCAAGGAGGTGTCCGATTGGGAAGTCTGATCGCATGGTAGGGCTGGTAGGAATAGGATCGGGCCACCGGGCTATTCAAGGATCGCAGACCGATTGTAATGCTTATCCTTGAAGGTCGTTCAGCCAAATCGGGTTTGCCGCGCTTGCTTGGATGACCTGACCAGGAAGCTCCAGAAGAGGCATTGCCTTGTGGTGGACTGAGCCCTTTGCTGATGGCTTTGGCCACTGGCAGGGAACCCAAGCTGATGATATATGAGCATCCAGACATGTAATAGGAATGGCTACTGGTAGCGGCTTACTGTGACAGGGACTCTGTTTATACTGTTAATATCAAGTACCTATCTCTATAATCACGAAAGCCAGCCGATAGGCTAGGCTGGAGTTGTTGATGGGCGAACGAAGTGAGCAGTATTAGGGGGTGTGGGGGGTGGTGGTCGCACAATTTCGGAGGGCGAACCCAGAGCCTGGTGGGGGAGAGCGAAAAAACATGCATCAGTTTGGGAGTGAACATGTATGGCTTTGGGGTGCATCATTAGCATCATGAAGGGCTCAGGAGGCAATTCAAGCAGGTCTTCTACCAGGGGTGGGAGTTCACGTCGATGATAGGAAAGAGGGGGCAACGGGGCGCGAAAAGTGGTTGGGACTCTTCCAGGAAAGGGGGATGTGCGTCTCTGCAGGCTATTGAAGTAGTTTTCGACCAAGGGTGAAAGGGAGGTGTGTGTCTCTCAACACACTGATGTCGTGTGGAAATGATGTGATCTGTGAGGGCAGGCGAGGGAACAGAATGCAGTGGAGAAGGGATTGCAAGAAATAATGTGATCCGTTGAGGGGAGGAGATGGGAACAGAACTTTGAGTTGCTTTGGGGTGCCCTTTTTTAATGGTGAAGAGGCATAGTGGCCAGACAGAAAAGGGCACCCCATATGGGGTGGGAGTTCATGTGCAAGACAGGCATAGTGGAGGAGGACGTGGTAGTACAGAAAAGTGAAATACAGCAGAAACTCTGAACCATCACTTTCTCGTGGTGAGTAAGAGTGGAAGGGAACACCAGTGGTTGGGCTTTGGTGCGGATCGAAGTCAGGCTACGCACTGTAAGAGTGGATGGGAGTGGACGCAGGTGTTCGGGGGGGTGCCCTTTTTCAGTTTGACAACGCCCTGGAACCACGGGAAAAAGGGCGCCGCCGTCGTATTATGTATTCTGCTTTCTGGTTTCTACCATCCGCCGGCGTGGCAACCGTGTCGACTTCACCCAATCAAAATGCTACTCTATGCTGGATGTTAAACGACTGGACCCACCATCTACACAGCAAGGCTAACGAACAGCGTGCAAGCGCCCGTCGATTCCTTCCGGCCTTTTGTCAGCTTCAAAGCACCCTTAAGTCAAAGGCAAAAGGGCCCCCCCCGCCAACCTACCATAACAAAGCCATTCTTTGCCCGATGTGAGACACTCACTTGATCTTGGCTGCAACATCGGGCTTAAGTCAAAGGACGAAGCGCCCCCCCAAACCCATTATCTTCTGCTTCCTATTTCCAACAGCAGTAGACATCACCGCCATGTTCGACTTGCCCCCACAACAATTCGACCCGCTCTTAACAGCGCACCAGGTTTATGAGTCCATCCAAACAACACGAGAAACAAACCGCAGACAAGCAATGACTTCGGGGCGCCCTTTTTCTTTTCCAAACGCCTCTTCGTCCAAAAGAAAAAGGGCACCCCAACCCCCCTGTGACTGAAGGCCTGTTATATCGGCCCCGCCTTATGCCTTCCAGCGCTTCCCCTGCGCTCTCGCGTTCACCCCCGTTGACCATATTGATATCTTCTTACGGAGGCCGGCTTTCGTCCCCTCCCTTCTCAGGTCAATAATAAATATGGTATACAAACTCCCATCAGCCAATGAACAGAAAACTCTGAATCTTCCCAGCCTGGGAAGCAGCAGTAGTTCTTGCAGGGTTTGTGCAGGCAGTGTTTGTACGTGCTTTCTTTGTTTTTTGTTTAGTTCCTTTTCCGGAGGCTTAGGATGTTCTTTTCTTCGTGGCCGAGGGCGCGAGGAACTGGCGCGAGACTTCCGGCAGATTGGTGCAGCTGAGCCAGCCCGGGGCCCCTTTGCGCTGCGAAAACGTCGCGGAAAATGCGTGCCGGTGCCGGGTGTGGTGATGGACGACCTGGACCCATCGAACTGAGGCGCTGATGTAGGCGTTGATGGGTGATGCAAAGTCTGATTTGGTGACCAATCGAGGGACTCAAATTGACTGAAAAGTGCCAATTTGAGCGCAAAGGTTTTTGATGGTTTTTGTGTATTTGTCGAAGAAGTGTGCAAATGAAGCGCTGCTTGATTCAGGACTTGGTCCCAAAGACTCCTTCGCTTCGCGGCTTTGGCTGGAGATTCGGCACTTTCTCAAGTCTTTCTAACTTGGGCGGATGCTCAAAGAGAGCAGCGGTCTCAACCTTGTCATTTTGCAATGTGACGAGGTGCTGCGGTCACACAGCTGAACATCGCAGACATCACTCGGCATCTTATGGCTGGTGCAGACCCAGACACACAGTTGCAGAGAGGCCAGAGTGCCACACGGTCACTATGTTCTTTTGCTGTAGCGGTTTTCTAAATTCTCTTGCGCGGTTTGCAGATTGAAGCCTATCAAGACACTGTTACTGTAATGGGTTCAAGATTAAAAATTTGGTGCTGCGCCCTGTGGAGATCCTTCTCAGTTGGAAGATGTGGACAGTGCGGTTTGACCAAGAGACGCCCGTCACTGACCTGTTCACCCTTGCAGGGGAGGGCATCCGAGCCACTGAGAGCGGTACCCTGCTCCATGCCTGTGCTGCAAACCACAAAGTGCCAGGTGCGAATCGCAGGGCACATTTGCGTTGATTTAATCGAATGAAAAGCGCCGGTGGTGGGTTTAGGTAGCAACTTTTGGACGCGTGATTTGGCAGTCTTGGCTTGAATGTGTAGAGTGTGATTTGGTGTCTCCAACAGAGATCCTTGATCGAAAAGAGCTGGGACCAGTAACTTGGCAAGCTCTTAACGTGGGAACATGCGACGATGGAATGTCACGAGGCATCTACGAGATTGCGCAGCTCTTGATCCACAAGAAGGCCAATTTGGATGCAGGTGTCTTGGAATCGCTACTAGGAGCAAGGACGCTACTAGGGGCTCGTGGCCCTACTACTAGTATCAAGAAGCTACCAGGGGCTTCTGGCATCGCTACTAGGAGCAAGGAAGCTACTAGGGGCTCCTGGCCCTACTGCTGGGAACAAGAAGCTACTAGGGGTTCCAGGCATCGCTGCTAGGAGCAAGGAAGTTACTAGGGGCTCCTGGCCCTACTACTAGGAACAAGAAGCTACTAGGGGCTCCTGGCATCGCTACTAGGAGCAAGGAAGCTACTAGGGGCTCCTGGCCTTACAACGAACAAGAAGCTACTAGAACCTCCTGGCATCGCTACTAGGAGCAAGGAAGCTACTAGGGGCTCCTTGCCTCTTGGAATCAATCGACCATTTGGTGTGCAAAAAGATTCGGTGGGGGGTAATCCTCTAGTCAGTCAAAAAGTTGTTTCCCAAGGTGATTCTGAGGGAGACACACCCTTGGCGCACGCGCGATACTTCAATGCCCCCGAGCTCTTCAAGCTTTATTCTGGCAGTGGCGCCAGCATCGCAGGGCCCTTCTACGCACGGCGCGCTGGGGGAGAAGTGGGTTCATTCGATTTGGATCAGTTTGTACTGCCGCAGTGTGATGCAGCACTGTGAGCGCCTCAGGTGGGAAAACCACGGTGTGCAAGCCCTGCGGCATTTGATCCAAGTTGGTCTTCATCATGTTGATGATGATCAGTGACAGTGAAGAAAGTGCCAGACCATGGTTTCACAAGCCTACTGGCAAATCAGTCAGAGTAGTAGATAGAATTTGGAAGCACACGACTCATTAGCTCAGCGAAGTTGTTGTGATTGTGCTTGCACTTTGAAACTTGCCACATTGCACGGGTTCAGCCAGCCACGCGTTTGTCGATGTCCTTTTCTCTTAGGTGCTGAAGAAGTCTTGTACATTTCAAGCATTTCACTTCCAGGCAGCCATGTCACCAAACAGTACTCATGTCTGAGTTTAGAATTGCAAGCTCCGTTGCTTCTGTTCTTTGGTACCTACAAGTTGCAGCCTTCCGCTGGCACGTGCGGCATGTACAGCCCAAGATGCGAGCAAAGAGCGAAAACATTGCGTTTCTGCCACTCACATGTTTCAACTTGGCAAGACACCCACATTTGACCGACATTCGCTGGAAGACTGCAGGACAATCCGCAGTCCACATTCCAGTACGTTAAAAGTGCTTCTGGTTCAATAAGGTGGTACGACCGCAGTTTTTCAAGACTTCTTTGTTGTGACTTTGGTGCATTTGTTCAAGTTGATCTGGCACATTGAGAGCATCAAATACAGGCGTGTGCTATTCACATTTATTCAATGCTGTGCACACTGTGCGTGCTGTGCCTACTTCTTGTGTGTGTTCAGACAACAGCTCACTTGATTGTGAACTGGGGTTGTCCTGCCACCCTTTTTCAGTCCCAAAGACATCAGGTCGTGCTCAGTGTAGACTGTAGACTCTAAAAGATCATGTTGATTTTAACTCCTATGACATGCGGCAAAAGGGTGCATGTAAAAGCCTCATAGCACATCAGCTCAAAGAGCGCAGGTTTGGCAGGTCAAGAAGCTGGGGACCGCGGACCGCGGGTGTGTGAATCCATCAAGGTGTGCTTTGCGCTGCACACCTCGTGCCATGGGGTGCCAACTTCGTGCCGTCTGTTCCGTTTCGTGGTCCGTTCAGGCGGGAAACGTTCCAGGCGCCGTTTGCAACACCGGACGAGGAAAACCTCTGATTCGAGAGGATCTCCCATCGCGTTGGACCCTTCTGTCGACAGTCCAATACGGCGGGCCTCCAGGTCAAAGTATTCCTGGACTTCAAACAGGGCTAAAAGGACGACCATGTATTTCATCTATTGGGGGACTTGGTCAGTAGACTCGTGGACCCTGGGGTCGTGAGTGGGAGGCCCTCAGAGTCAGGTGATTTGTAGAATTTGCACTGTGCTAAACACACCTGCTTCCCCGGTGTACAGTCCCAGCATTGAGTAGCATCCGTTTTCTTGTTTTTGGAAAAAGGATGATGTTTTCATAAACTTGGGTCAGGTGTAAAGATAATGAATAATTGATTGATTGAATGAGTGAATGATTGAATGAAAGATATCTTAATATTGTTTCTTCGGCACATGTAGGATGCCAGCTGTCTGGCAGAAGCCTCCAAGTGATGACGTTTGGTGAGGCCTCAGCGGCCCCCGCAGAGACGGAGAGGGAGACGCAAGCGAGGTTCCAAGCTTCAGTGCTATTTTTTCGACGAGGTTCCAAAGGAATGCTCCTGTTGAGAATCTGAAGCACAACTTTGGTGGGAATCCTTCAGGAGCTGAAATCAAATCACCAGTCTTTAGTGATCCTGACATAGGTCCTTTTGGGGGGAATGAGACGTTGGAGATCGTTTGAGATATGCTCTGGTTGGGAAGCACGGAACGGTGACATTGCGAAGAGTTCAGTGGTTGAAGTGCCTCGACGTGCGACTTAACCTGCAAAGGTGGTTTGGGACTCCCATTCTGCTTGTATCCTATAGACATGGCCTCTCTCCTTGGAGAAGCTGTGGAGTGATGTGGTAGCCAGTCATCTCTAGTTTGCCAGTAGAAACACATCCTTTGTACTTGCGTCCAGCGTAGGTCGAAAGAAATAGCTTTAGATCTCTGACGTTTTTGATACTGGAAAATGAACGGATCTAGCTTGTCTGGAACCTTCTGTAGCTGTCGATGAACATTTCCCACTTGATGCCTTTCGCCTCCAGATTGTCATGGACTGCAACTTCAGATGGCCTGAACCTTTAGCGTTCGATCGACTTCAGCGTTTTGCTCCAGTGGAAGGGTTGTAGGCGTTTCTGGGGATGGGAAGCTCTGCATGTTGGGCGGCTAATGGAGGGAGGTGTTTGACCTCATCAGTGAAGACAAGCACAATCAAGATCAAGCAGTATGGACGGACGTCTCAATGGCAAGAAGCTGTAGGATGTTTGATGGATCTGGAGGGGCCGGATTTGATTGCATACAGCTCCGCAATCACTGCCTGCGCTAAAGGAGCAGCTTGGCAGCCAGCATTGCTCCTGATGCGCATGCTTTGCCAGATGCAAACCCGACTGGACGTGATCACGTATGGTGCAGGCCTCAGTGCTTGTGAGAAGGCTGGAGCTTGGCAACATGCAGGATCTCTTCTTCAAGAGCTCGTTGATGAACAGATGCAGCCAAATCCGGTTGTGTACAACACATCCATCAGTGCCTGTGCACGCAGCGGGGCCTGGCAAGTTGCCTGGGATTTGCTGCGGCTCTGTGAGCTAGGCGTGCGAGCTGATGTGATCAGCTACAACTCTTTGGGCTTTGCCTGCGAGATGGCAAGTGTTTGGTTGCACGTGCTAGCGCTTTTGCCCTTGTTGCACACCAGGCAGTTAAGGACGGATGTTGTGACATACAGCTCTTCCATCAGTGCATGTGCTGAGGAGAGCATTTGGCAAGAGGCTCAGGAGCTTCTCTCCAAGACTCGGTTTTGTCATGATGTGGATGTTATTGCCTTCAATGCTGCTATCAGTGCATGTGCCAATGCCGGTGAGTGGCAGTATGCCCAATTTCTGCTGCAGGAATTGCAGGCCATGAAGCTGCGAGCTACCTCCATTAGCTATAATGCAGTCATCACTGCGCTGGAAAGGGTGGGCGAATGGCAACATGCCGAAGCGCTTCTGGCAGACCTTTGTTCCGATTCACCGGACCTCTCAGCTGATACGATGTCTTACAATGCAGTCATCAGTGCTTGTGGGAGGTGGGGCGAGTGGCAGCGAGCTTTGCTTTGGTTGGAGGAGATGGCTCTCCGGTCTGTGCAGATGGATGTGATAACATTTTCAGCCGTAGCAAGTGCTTGTGAGAAACGCGGAGAATGGCAATGGGCTCAAGAACTCTTAGACAGACTTCAGTCCTGTCGAATTCAAGCAGATGCAATCTTTTATACTTCGGTCATCGGTGCTTGTAGGGAAAAATTGGCGTCGGCTCAAGCCTTTCTGTTGCTACGGCGGTTGCAAGCAAGAAGAATGCGTCCCGATGTTGCGACATACAATGAGGTGATCAGTGCACTTCACACCCGGTCCAAGTGGCTTGATGCTCAGGAGTTGCTGAGCGAGATGCGGCAGCAAGAGCTACAACCGAGCATTGTCACCTACAGCTCGATGATTGGAGCTTTTGAAGGCACCTGGAAGTGGCCAGAAGCCACAGATCTTCTGAAGCACCTTGCGGTCCAGCACGTTGAAACCAATCTCATTGCATACAACTCAGCCCTTCGGGCGCACCGAGGTCACACGGGCTCGTGGCAGCAGGCCCATGCTTTGCTCCAGGCGTTGTACCAAGAACGTTTCCAGGGAGGAAACTCCGGAGCGAATGCTTTGACGTTTGCCTTTGGTTTGGAGGCCTTTGAAAAGGGTGTGGCAAGTCCACAAGCCCTTCTGTGCTTGCATGCCCTTGCCGCTGGAGGCTTGGAAGCTGTGGCCATCCAAAGCCGCGAGAAAGAGGTCGACGGCGCTTCTTCGATTTGGGGCTGAGCTTAGTTTGTTTGGAATGATTGTTAGTTCAGCTTATTGGACAATTCCCATCTGAAAAGTCTCACCCCCCTCCCGGACTCCTCCCCAAGGTTTCATCCAACTTCTCTTTGGTCCAATCGCCTCAGGTGTCCATCGTGATGTGACCAGATGAGAGGGGAACCTTGGGCCATGAAGCATAGTGAATTCAATTGTTTTCCAGTTCTTTTGGGTACAGGGCAACATCTCAAACTCATAGTTCTTCTACCTTCTCGATGCCTTTATTTGCCAATCAGCTGGTCAAAGTGGCCAATGTACAAATAACAGAGGCGCAACACAACGTGCATGGAAAAGCTCTTTCGCGTCGCATGCGTCACAGGTTCGAAACGACGACTTGAATATCAGGCTGCCGGCTATCGGGCAGCAATGCCACATATGAGTCTTTGCACATTCTTTTTGAAGTCATGATTCCAACTCGTTGGTCGACGATGGGGTTTCAGGAAGACGGTTCGATCTGACGGCACGAGGTGTCATCCGAAAAGCACGAAACCGCCCGCCACCGCCCAGCGCTGACTCTCGAGTGGCTCAACGTCTCCCCAGCGCGGTCAACGCGCCCGCGCGGCGGCCGCGGCAAATGCCGAGTGCCTGGGCGGAGTGGTCCAGGTGTGATGGAGTGGGTAGGTTCTCTTCCAGGTTTCATTAGATCCAGCAAGCTGAACTAAACATTGCTGCGTTTTTTAGAGGAGTATTACTACTATGACTATAACCATGTATAACAAATGATGCGACTGGGTAAGGCCCCTTGGGAAGCAAGGGGTCATTTCCATCCAAGGCTACAAGAACATTTCCAAGGACCGGGTGCCGGTGTTTTCCTTTCTGCTTCGAATTAGAGTCGCATGGCGTCAGAAAAAGAAAGGCCTATACAGTGAGTTTGTTCTTTTTTGCATTGGTTCCGGTATCACAAACTAAGTCCACACGGAATCAGAGATCTTCTTTCCGGCAGGATGAGGAGGACGACCTGGAGGATGCCTATTTCAGTGATGAAGACACTGGGCCGGGATGTGTGGAAACCAATTTCCCCTCCTTGGCATGGCTTCAAGGATCAAGGCGGGTCACGGTTGGTCATCCTCGGACGAGAGCGGCACCCCGATGCGAATAATGAAAAGAACCTAATAGCAATGGCCTGCACCCTAGTAGCGATGGCCTCCAACCTAATAGCGATGGCTGTGGCTGAAAGGACTTGCTGATTTACTGCAGAAGGGTCTTGCTGGACCTCTCACAGTAGACCTCTCAGAGTGCACAGTAGTAGCTTCTCCTGCACCGCTTCATTCGGTGAAAATGGCAGGGATGGGTTCACAGTGGGCCAAACCACTGCAGCGCAAGTCGCAAGTGGGGTAGCCCAGTGGACTGATGGAGAAAGTTCTGCAGAAGATAGACTAAGGTGACCTCAAACCCTGTCCACGTCGGCAAGAAACGATCTTGCGGAGATTGCAGATAGCCAATTTCAGTTGATTTGTGATTGCTTGCAAAAGAGAATCCAATACATTTGGATGGGAGTACCGAGTGTTTGCACAGTCCGTTCTCTTTTCAATAGAGAGTGTGAAGTCATGAGCCAGTGAAGAGAAGTGCGTGCTGCAACGGTGTGTCTGCCTGTTGGGCCAACGGGCTACGGTGGATTGCTTGCAGTTGCATTACATGATATTGCATGATAGTTCTACAATCCGATGCTGCCCCGCTAGTCATCACCACGCTAAAAGAACGCAACTTCCATGTTAACCGTTATCCAATCTATTCTTATTGGTGTGTGGCCCATTTGGCCAACAGTAATGTAGACTCTTGATTCATCAGAACCCTCCATATGTTTGGAAGCTGACGACACTGCTCTTGTCAAGGGATGCACCTTCCGGAGCGCGTAGGGTAGAAGAGGTGTCAAACTCCAAATCTGCGAGGGTTCTATCACTCAAAATTCCAGCCCCGACGGTTTTCCTGTACTCCGATCCGGAGAATGTACATCCGATCCGAGGCTGGACCACCTTCTACTCTGCCATTTGCATGTATGTGAACCGCCACAATTTGGCCGAAATCGGCCTTGCGCCCTCGACCTTTCTGTTCCTTGGGTGCCGATGGTTCGGTCGAAGCGCGGGTGGTTTTTGGGACCCATAAAAACAAGCGACATTGGCCGAGTGTGTGTTTTGATTCTTGTTCCACTCAGTGATGGTTGCTCTTTCTATGTCAGTGATCAACCCAGGTGCAATCTCCTCTTCATCGTTGGATCAGATCTGGGCTCCACCATGTCAGGGATTTTCTACGGTGTCATCGGCTCCTTCTATGGCCTGCTCCTGGGCGTTCTCTGTGCCATGCTGGTCCAGTGGCGTATGGGGTCAAGCCGAAAACAAATAGCAAGCTGCAAGACAACAGGGAAGCTGACCTTGGTTTCTCTTATATAATGGATCTCAGGGGGGGTACCATATATATATATATATTTATATCTTGGTGCCAGAAAGAAAGCCATCCTAGTAGAAAGGAACCACAACAGAGATGTCTCCTGGTAGAGGAAGGCATAGATGAAGGATTGCTTGTGCGTGCGTGAACTGAACTGTTGCAGTTCCCGATGAAACTGGAACACAGGGCGATGCACCCTTGTGCCCCGATTCTTTCGGACACTGGAAGCCAACAAGACTGTGGAATGTCCCTTTGTGGAACAGCCAATTTGCTTCTTTTGATTTTCTTCACGTCCCTAGTCGTCTCTTTGACTCAGACTAACCAATTTCCAACGCTGAGGTTTACGAACTGGCTCTTCTTGGGATTCTTCCCTGGAGCGTACCACGGAGAGATGCATGGTAGCCAGAATCCTGAAGGTGGTGTGAAGGGTTGGCACCGGGAAGGCACCTGAATCAAGAAGGGCAAGGCACTTGTTGAATGCAAAAGTCCTCGGTTCGTCGTTTTTTGGCCAACACATGTGGCCTCCATGTCTCTCGGTGACCTGGATCTGGGGTCAACTGAAGCTCCCGCTCCACCTCGCCGCTCCACCTGTCGTCGAGGAACCATGCCATCTTCTGGGCTGCCCTGTCGGTGATCATCCTGTATACTTTTATCTTTCTCTTCGTCAAGGTGGGACAGGGCCGGACAGGGCCAGACAGGGTAGTTCAACGAGAGATTTCCAAGGCAAAGGAGGTTTCTCTTTCAGAAGCTCTTTGAATCTAGTGATGCCTGGGAGACAATCGAAGGTTCAAGATGTTCAAGGGGCAAGATGCCCAGTAAAGTGGCTCCAGTGTGTCTGACCTTTCTCTCGACACTTGTGTGGTTGGTGGTTGGATCCACCTGCCGGGATAGTAATCTCCTCACCTGGTGAGGTGAATGAAACGATTCGATTCTGGGCATTGATCACCTTCACTGGTGGCTATGCCATGAAGTTGATTGACCCTGCAAGCAATGGCGAGGCAGGCTCAGGCAGGGGGCCACAAAAATCGCAAAGACACTGGCTGGAGTTTTCTTTTTCAGCAAGCTTTGAACTTAGAGAACACACTTGCCGGCCGTGGTCAAAACGGCAGACTGTGAGGTTTGCTGGGTTATGGACATAAGGTTTCCATACCTGTGGGGCAGCAGAGAGAGTTTGCGACTGCATGCATATGCTGAAGGGGTTGGTTGAGGCCGACTAAGCTACCGGGGCGAGTGAAGTTTCTTGTCAAAACAAGATATTATGATCATGTATGTAATGTATTGTAATGGAATGGAATGGAATGCAATGCAATTATTTCCCATTCGGAGTCTCCTTTGGGTTTTCATGAGGGCTGCAAAGGGGGAGAGATGCGATCCATAGGCAAATTCCAGTTCAATTTCAAGGGCTACGCTGAGAATGTGCCTTGCTTCAAGCAGAGGGGGAGAGGCGGTTTCTCGAAATCGGTGTCGAAATCGGTCTATATTGCCATTTGTGCTCCTGCAAGTGAAGCACTTCAGGTTTTTGTTAGGGAGGCCATCGCTATCAGGTTGGAGTTGGAGGCCATTGTTATTAGGTTGGAGGCCATCGCTTGCGCTGTTGATCTTTTCCAGTGTCATTTTGGATTCACCAAGGGCTTCGTCCAGTACTTGTTTGGCGCGCTTTTGGCCGTGATCATCTTTCTCGTGCCACCCCGGCTCTCCCTGGACGAATCCTACAAGCGAGTGGCTGCCTGGTTGAGCTCGTTTCGCGTGTTTTCCTTCCAGAGAAAAAGACTGGGCCAAACTGGACATTACGAGAGGTGTGTGGGTGTTAAACTGCTGGCTTGTTGGGATGTTTACGATGTAGAATCGCATGACAGATATAAAGCTGCTCTCCCCGCCGAGTGACCAAAGTCGCTCGGCTCACGCCTGAGGACAGGGTGTCACGCGATGTGACAATCCTTCTCAAGCCTCTTGGCACGAACCAGCCACCAAAAGGATTTGTGTTTGTCATACTGTATGATGTCATTGTCCATCATGTTATCTACCCTACCTGAAGCATTCTTTTTGTGGCTGTTTGCAACCCATTGCGAGTTTCCCTCACATGGTATTCAATGGTGGCTCTTCGGGTAACTTGAAAAGGCCGTACAGTAGACCTTTGATGTGTTTTCACAAGCCGCCAATGTGACTGTTCGTTTGAGGCGATTGATGACATACTACTGTCGGAACATCAAAACTCTCGAGATCTATGACATCAGGGAGAGCTGGGAAGTGCTTGCCAATTCCCATACGAATAATTACTTCTTTTAGTTGAGTGGCATGGTGCATATTCGTGAAGTATCATAATATGTCGGATCTACTACTGCGGCTTGTTGACTGTAGTTCCAGTTGGTTTTTTGTAGAAGACCAGCCTGAAATCTTTGCAACGGTGCATAACAGATCGTGGTTTCTCCCCAAGAAGACTCAGAACACAAACAAAAACGATCAACACCAAACGCCAGGAAGACTTTCAAAGCCTCCAACGGCGCTTGGACGAAGCCAGTGCGCTCGGCTCCTTGGTCAAGAACTTTAGATGAGTGGTGATGTTGACAACTTGGAAAGTGACACTTCCACTGTCTCTGTGTTTGTGCCACACCACTAGTTTTCTTGAGGTGCCAGTTCGTGGTATGAAAGCTTGGGCAAGAGCAAGCGCCGTGCGATGACGTTGAAGCTGACAGGTGTTGTCAAGGCGGCAATTGGAACGAAAAAGCTCCTAGTAGCGCCCTTGCTCCTAGTAGTAAGGCCAGGAGCCCCTAGTAGCGTCCTTGTTCCTAGTAGCGATGCCCTTTGCTCCTAGTAGCGATGACATGAGGACCTGGCAACTGACGACATGCGCTTACAAAAACCATAGGGCCAACTTCTTTGCCGAGGTCCTCAGGGGGGAAACATTTGCAGAACACGTCAAAACAAACTGCCAGACCCCGAATGGCCGCTCTTTGGTCGTGGCCTTGTGCGAAGCCATCAGGAACTTTTCAGATTGCAGAGTTGTTCAATCGCACCAGTACCCTTGGGCCTTTGGGAGATGGGTCGACTCATAGTCATAGTCTGAATTCTCTCCCACGTTTCAGCTACGAACCCATGCCAGCCTTGCGTTTGTCAGGAGCTGATGGACTATGTGGAGCCACTGCTGGAAGTCGTGGTGGACGAGGATTTTCAAGAAAGCCAGCGGGGCCCGCGAAAAATCAAGACTGGTGCAAGATTTGCCTGTGATGTGTGTGGATCATTCATCATGACTTTTTGAAACAGTGCTTTGACAAGCAGATTGAATAGCAGTGTTAGTGAGTGAGAGAACCAAGATGGTGATCCTACAAGCATGAGATCGTCATGGCCGTTTCTTCCCCTGTCGGGACTTCTCAATTTCTTTTTCATCCATTGAGTGGGCGGAATCATGATCCTATGGTACCATGCTTCCAAGAAGGCCCTGCGAGGATTCACAGGTTTCGGTGCGAATGATGGCGCAGGTCACACTGTCATGATGCAGCAAGTGGGAACTCCGATGACAAATGTGGTGGAAGGCACTTTTAGGGAGATGTCTTCAATTTCGATTCAAGGAACAAGAACGCTACTAGGGGCTCCTGGCCTTACTACTAGGAGCAAGGACGCTACTAGGGGCTCCTGGCCTTACTACTAGGAGCAAGGACGCTAATTACTAGGGGCTCCTGGCCTTACTACTAGGAGCAAGGACGCTACTAGCAAAGCCTGTTTGATTCCGATGACTGCCTCTAGACTCTAGACAGACCAAGAGCTTGCCACTCTCTCCAATCCCTGAGTCTCTTGAGTATCTCATGCTTTGGCAGCCTCTTTTCAAGGTACCCTCGAGATTGTGGAGGAATTGATCAGGGGAGCCGAAGATGGATCCTTTAATGAGGAAGAATCGGACAGGGTTCAGGCGGGAAAAAGAGCAAGTGACTACCAAGTGACCAGGTGACCAAACGGAAGTTGTTGCTAAGTTGCTTACGGACTCTGCTTGGAGTTTTGTTTGTTAGCTGATGGCTTTTGGTCCAAAGACTCAAAGACCCTTCTGCATCATTCTTGCGGAGAAAGTGATCATGTTTCCCAGGTTCCGCTGTAGCTGAGTGCAACCCACCTTTGCACTTCCGCTGCGCAGCGCCAAGAAGAAAGCCTGATGCAATCTCCTAACCTTACCTTGTAGGGACCCTCACCCTCACTTACTCTAATGGACAAGTGGCCCGGGCCTTGCCTGGGCTGTGGCCTTGCCAGCTTACTGGTCAACAATGTCCATGCCATCACCTTCCGCAGTGAACACGGCCACTTGGCAGGCGGAGATTGATGACATGCCCAATCTGGTGACGAAATTGCAGCGCTCGGTGGGGGATCCAGTGGGGGGCAAGTCATGAGAGAGGACCTTTGGGATTTTCGTTTGATCTTTGTCTTTCGCATGATGTCCAAGGTCCAGGAAGCCACAGATGCAGTGGGCAGAATGGAAGGACAAAAAGCGGGTGAAAGGATCCAACCGCAGGCGGGCAACGTGACTTGATTCGTGTGACTCGTTTGAGACTTTTGGATCCTCCTCATCATCCAAATCCGAAGCGTGCGCTCCTGCGGGGTGTCTGTTCTGGTGCCTGCGCAGACCTTGGGGGAGCACTATGTCGCGCTGACCGTTTGTCGGATGGCTCAAGTGGTCATGGACAACGCCAAGCAGGTCATTGATTCACAAGGTGATTCCAGTGAGTGGAGAAGTGGGTCATCGACGTGGGAGAAGTGACGCAGTTGAAGGGAAGGACCTTCAAATCATCCAGCAAGTACTCAGCAATCCAGTCCTGAGCACCTATTTTCGTGGTGCTGGTTCGAGGTTGGTCCATTTGAGTGGAACATTGATGTGAGGGAAACTTGCGGCCACATCCACTATATAGGTGGAACACTTGTAACTTGTTCCAAGATATTTGCAAGAATCCAGTGCTGGAGGTCTGAGGTGCCGATGCGACCAAACACGTGGGTGCTTGCTGGAAGGGTTGTTTTTGGGGATGTTTTTGGTGTCATTTTGGGACGATGTTTCCAACTTCTTGTCATAGAATGCAGGTGGTTTTCGCATCGGCTGGCCAAACCCCTTGGGTTGTTCGAAGTTGCAAAACCCCAGGCACAAAACACGGTAATTCAACTCCACAGGTTTGGGCCCCGGCAGGCCTGCCAGCTGGGGATTGGTCCGAAGATATGAAGAATTCCTGGGGAGTTCTCTTTGACTATGAGAAAGGAGATCTGAAGTGGCTTGGTGAAAGCAAGTACTCTTGAGCTTTGGGAGGCAAGCAAGCGCTTTTTCAGCTTGGTGAGGCAAGCGCCGACATTTTGTCATCGATTTGTGGCTCTGAGGTGGGCTGCCCGCTCCACGGTCTGCCTTTTGGTGAATTTCCTGGTTGGTTGGCATGGCTCCTTGGTGCTTCCCGAGAGCCGGCCACACACCCGGGGACACCGGGCCTTCGCCCGATCTCGCGAGCTGGCCCGGTGCATTGGACCGGTGTTCGCTTGGCTTCCGATCGGATAGGAACACGTGCACTACTAGTAGCTAGAAGCTACTAGCAGCTCTTGGCATCGCTACTAGGAGCAAGGACGCTACTAGGGGCTCCTGGCCGTGCTACTAGTAGCTAGAAGCAGCGATGCCGTTACTAGTAGCTAGAAGCGAGATCGGCTTCACAGCCGAGCGAGTCCGCCTTTCTTTTCCCCGAGGCTACTGTGATTGGCAAGCCATTGATGAGTTTAAGGAAGGTACACTGGCACAGGCTGGGCCTGTTGATGAGATGTTTGGTGCTGGTTTTCAAGCTCGGCTCATTTTGTTGTGATTTTGAAAGGACTCAACTTGAATCAACCTTACTTTTGTGGTACGGGCAGCTGTACAATGAGATCCCCCAATGCCTTCCAGCTTGAGTAACTGAGCAATGTGGCCAAGGGTCAGTCGAGGATCGTTGGAGCAACTCTATCGGTGGAAGCCTTGCACACACCGTCCAACGGCCTTCGGCGTGTATAGCGGCGCGGGGACTGGCAGGAACCAGTATGCTTGATCCAGCCCTACTCTGCCGGACTGGCCAGCATCAACGCATCTGGGTGGAACGGGATGGGATGTTGGTCAAAGGAGGATTGGCGCACAAGCCGGGGGTCTTAAGTGTTAAGGTTGCCAAAAAGAGCGGTATACTTGGGGAACATACTGTTCGACAGTGGATGTTTCTACTGTAATTGAAATCTCAACCTCTAAGAATTGCCACCGGCCTGCAGTTAATATCATCTGAGGTGATCCTGCTTAGTCGCTACAGTGCGGGTACCATAAAGAATGCCATGGACCGAGTGGCGAACGTGGTTTTGGCCAGCGTGGTTGGTGCCTTGGACCATAGTAGGTCTGGAGTTGTGCGCAAAAAGGATCGTGCCAACGTCGTGATGGGGCTTTGACAAAGAGACGACAGAGCTTATTGGGTAGAGTGAGCACCAATCCTGCAAAAAACATCTATAGGTGGGACCCCGATGCCTTCATATGGCCTTGGGTAAATACCAAAAACGAAAAAGCATGGCGCGGCACTGCTTCACGCCGTACAAGCAAGTTCGACACATCTCACGAATTCCTCTGCAACGGGGGGGTTCAATCCTTCGATCAGCCAGGATTGACAGGGCATGGGATAAAGGCTTTAGCCAAGAGCAATGTGGGAAGACTGAAAACCACAGAGTCTTGAAGGTGCTTTTCCACTCGACGAATCTAGACGCCATGGTTTTCGGGCTTTCAGATCTTAAAGTGGGTGAACGTGGATGATTAGCTGCTGAGCTTTTGAGGGGCCTTGAGGGTCTCGGGTGGCAGTGAGTCCAAACATGATACCCGGGGGGTCCACCTACCAGGGTTTTTAGCTCCATGTTTTGACCCACTGCCGTCTCAGCCCATTTTTGCCTCCAGGAACCTTGGGGTACAGCGTCTTGGGTTGGTGCAGCGATGTCTACAGGCGCACGCGTCCAGTGGAAGCTTTCTGTTTTGGTTCTGGGAGGTTCGAGTCATATGGAAGCTGCGAACGGCTGGAGAGTCTGGACACGAAACATGGGTGTTTCCGTATGTTTCTTATGTTGAAGCCCTCCTTTGTATCCTGAAGTTTGCCACGTCCAAGCACTGTCGGCCTTCAGGGTACTCACTCTTTTCGCCGTATTCCTGGCCACCTTCATCTTCATGTCACTTGACAAAGAGGAGGTGGCTTGAAATGCTTTGTCTCAAACTAAAGGATATCACTGGGCTGCTTGGCTGTGCGCTTTTGCTCCTGATTTTTCGGCTCCCTGTACTGAGAGCTTTGAGGTACATGAAATATGATGGCTCGGGAGACACCGCTGGTATTGCCCAGCGATTGGCTGCGATTGCTGCAGCTTGGAAGCAAGCTTTAACCCCAGCAGTGTCTCCTCATGAAAGAGACATTGGAATCAACAAGTTGCCTCCGGCCCTTGGGGTCGGATCTTCTCGGGGCCGACCGAACTCAGCCATTTCGCCGGTGCGTTGCTTGCGCCGGAGGGGGCGGTTGAAGGTGTCCAGCTTGATGAGCAACTGCTCCAACGATCCTTCGACGGCGGGCACCTACTCCTCCAAGTTCCACGACCTCAGTGACATTATCTTTGGATCCTCGACATGAAGCGTCGAACACAAACGGCAAGGAGACAGCAGAGTTTGCAAAAGGCTCTAGAACTGCGAAAAAGGGCGACTGTTTACCCTTCTTGTCAAAAGGACTCCCAAGAACTGTCAAACTGCAAGGGTCGGTAGGCTGCCCAAAGAGGCCGCGCTCGATGGCGCCCCGCACTGCGCGTGGTGCTGCTCCGAGGTGTTTTGATCATGACGATCTTCGACTTCATCTTCGGCGAATCCTCTGCCTCGGAACAGGTCCGATGGGTCGAAGCGTTTTGACGCGCGTCATGCCGGGAAGGGGAGAATGGAATGGGCGTTAAGCCCTGGTGCCGCTGACACCTATTAGTGGGCTATACAGCCAAGCATTACGAAACGAGCTCAGCCATTTACAATCAGAATGCTCTGCTTCATGGTCTTGATTGACCTTGTTCTGCGGGTCAACCCTAGGTTGCACAGTAGGAGAACAACGGCTACCACACTGAAGCCTTTGCAAAAATGGGCTCAATGCCTTCACACCCAAAAAGGTTCTGTCAGCATCAGAGTGGCAAATTTGAACTTTCTCCAAACCTCTAGGAGGTCGCGGCCCCAAAGGTTTGCACGCGTTTTGTTTGGATGAACTCAACAGGAAGTTTGCCATCGAAACAATTTACAGCATAGGATGCTGCTGTTGCTGCTTCTGCTCCTTGACGACGTTTTCTGCTTGTACTCCAGGAAGAACAATAGATGCAATAGCTTCCTTCCTCACTACCGCAGAGCTCACGACCCTCATCAACGACAGGTTTCGTGGCCACACCCCAAAGGCCCAATGCCACTCGTGGCGGTACTCAGAGACAAGCCGACTGTGTTTAAATGATGTCAAAAGAGAAGATAAAGGGGCTCAACATGTACTGTACCCCTCTTTCTTCGCAAGGGCCACAAAGTCACGATTCCGGTTACCCTGGCGTTGAAGCGAGTACGACTGCATATTTCCCCAGATAGCGAAGCTATGGGGTTCTTACTTCAAATAACAATGAGTTGCCCGTGCGCGCTTTCGAGACAGGTTGCTGGTGCTGGTGCCGGGTGCTGGTGCTGGTGCTGTGAGCTGGCTGTGCACGTGGCGGAGACAGGTTGCTGGTGCTGGTGCTGGGTGCCGGTGCTGGTGCTGTGAGCTGGCTGTGCGCGTGGTGGGGACAGGTTGATGGTGCTGGTGCTGGTGCTGCCGGTGCTGGCGCTGGTCCTGTGAGCTGGCTGCGCGTGAGGTGGAGACAGGTTGCTGGTGCTGGTGCCGGGTGCCGGCGCTGGTGCTGTGAGCTGGCTGTGCACGTGGTGGAGACAGGTTGCTTGTGGTGCAGAATGGGTGCTGGTGCCAGGTGCTGGCGCTGGCTGTGCGCGTACTCCACGCTGTATTGCGTGTAAAAATTGGAGCTGCTGCCAATGCAGGGTGCAGCCCAGAAAAATCTTTTGCGTGCTTTTGCGATCTAGGATCTATGCTGGAGTAATTTTACTTTAGGTGTAGGGACATGTAGCTGGGTGTAAATATTATACACCATGACCATGTCAGTAAAGACAAACCTCACAGCAGCTTCAAAGCCGAGCAAAGAAACTGTGCAAGCACATCACACCCTCCGCCACAGCCTTAGCCCACGCCGTTCTACGCGCAAAATCGGCCGAGAAGTGGGCCGACGGCAGCTTGGAAACTGCCCGCAGCGGCACAGCCTTAGCTCATGTCGATTTACGGGCAGCTGGCAGCTTCAAAACCGTGGAAGAAACTGCGCCAGCCCATCGCAAGCGCACAAATCCAGGTGTGTGAAAGCAGGCAAGGACAACTGCCGTAAGCTATTGCAACCTTCGGTATCAGGGTTGGCGGATTTTGTTCATGAAAATAGATCCAGAAAACGTGTGGAAAAAGAAGAGGTTGTGCGCTCTGCAGGCGATCACTGGCATGACAGACATGGTGGAAGAGTACCAGCAGGTGCAGACACTGGAAGGTATGGATTCGAGTGTTGAGTAATGCGATCAAAATCGGGTTTGCTTGAAATGTAACCCCGATGACTTGCCACGAGGGACTGCAGATAAGGACACTTGACTTTGCACTTGTTTTGCAAACATGAACCAAAGCTATGCAGACCAACGTCAGCCCAAATAAGTGATTGTGGGACCACTTTGGCTCTGAAAGAAGGTTTTTTGCTCTGGCAGCCCTGCAGGTCTTCAAGGAGTTCTTTGATCAAGATGGCAAAAATCAGATGACCCATGAGGAACTCAAAAAGAAAGTGGTGTCTCGGCGGCTTCATGTAATGTTGTTGATCAGACTTTCGATTGTTCTTTTCACGTGGCTTGGTGGAAACCAAAATAGGTTTGCTGTGGCATGGGGGCACATTAATAGGTCGCTTCTGGAGATCAAGCACCTCAATGCTGACAGTATCCACGTTTCGAAATCTGTTCTCTGCACAAACAGAGCTGCACCATAGGCCTAAGCACAGTTGTTGTATATAGGTGTCACAAGCAAAACCAGGTGGTCCGTTCATCTGGGGAAAAAACATGCACTCCAGCCTGTGTTTTCAACATCGTTTGGTTTCTTTCCCCGGCCGAAACGACCAGCCTGGTCCTCTTCCAGGGAGACCCATGCTGTCGGAGTCGCAGTCATAACGATTCCATGTGATGAAAACACATGGTCCATTCGTTGGGGGGTCAGTCCGTAAAGTTAATGCCCGTTGACCATTGATCTTGCTGTGGCTGTCCAAGTCTGGAGAACAGGAGATGGCACGAGTCGAGTTCAAGTGCCACAAAGAAACACTTTTGTCCAGAGTCTAGAGTCTACATCAGAAACTTCTCTTCAGTTGAGACGAACTCTGTGGTGTTGCTCCTACAACCTGCCACGCTCGTCGACACGACACTTCCACCCACGACGCCTTCTCATCGGTCGTGACACTTCCACCGAAGCCGCCGGCGCTCCGTGACCTGCCCCTGAATGTATGCATACATCCTGTATGCTACTAGCAAAGGGCATCGCTACAAACGGAGCAAGGACGCTACTAGGGGCTCTTGGCCTTACTACCAGGAGCAAGGACGCGCTCCGTGACCTGCCCAAAAACGAGGGAAGGGTGAGCATACAGGGTGTGTTTGGCGGGGGCATGTTCGAGAGTCAAGACTTGTGAGTGAATTCAGGCCTCCGTGAGCAGCAAAATCAGCGAGTGTGCCTCTACGGGCAGCAAGGCTTCGATGGAACCGAGGCGATGGAACCTGCAATCAGGGGAAGACGGAGTCTATTTGTGCTCTCTTTCCAAATGCCGGATGTTTGCGAATCTATTCTCCATTCCTCATCATTCCTCAGAGGGGTCAAAAAGGAGGGTTCCTACTTTGAGAGTGTTGGATTTTTTCAAGTGTTCAGGATTTTTTGTTTCTTTGTTTGGGCTTTCACAGGCCTGAGCTTTGCCTTTCAGGTTTTGGCGTATGAGCTTCAATTCTACGCTCTATGACAAGATCATTGTACATTGGCTGCATTCTTTAGAGATTCTTAGTAAAGTAAAGCTTGAACAATGACAGCCCAGCTTGGGGGTCGTGCTTGGTCTCTGGGTGTTCACTTTGTCGCTCTGTGCGCTTTTCGACTGAGTCCACCTACAAAGTTCTCTGCAACGCCTTGGTGAAGTTGCTTGACTGAAAGCAGGAAGCAGCGGAGAAGCCATCTCACAGGTTCATGAAGGCCTATGTCCAAAAGCTCTCAATGGCGGCTGGTGGTCTTCTCGGCTAGTCTTGATGTAAGGACCAGCCGCGTGATTGATGACGACAAGGACGTCCTCTTTGACCGTTTGGCTCACTCCGATGAAGTCAAGCAGCTGGTCTGGCGTCATGCGTGGGCAGTGAAAGCTTGACGGTTGGAGGTCGAAGGTGAGGCTACGAGAGGGGGAAGGTTCCAACTTGACATTTTTGAAGCAATGAAGGATTTGCCACTGACCCGGCAGTGACCCTTAGAGAAGGTATAAGAGGGATGCTTTCTGCAACCCAAAAGCCCGTCAAGCGCCCAGGCGCCAGATCATGTATCGCGTCCTTGATGATACGACGCGGATGGTTTTGGCGACAATCAAGATTCTTGGATTCATGAACAGCACGGGAAGATGGACGCTCCTGGAAATTCAAGCTGTGAACATACCCACTTTCACAAAAGGTGGGAACGCTTTGCTTCCAAGTCTTTGGAGCTCTCGATCGATCAGCCTATCTTTGTCTTAGTGTTCCCCATAACAACTGGGTTTCATCCCAACAAAATGGATCCGATTTTGTCTTCGATTTGGCTTCGGCCTGCTCGTCGCTTTCTTCGCCGAGGCGTGATCGTGCCTCCATTCCAAGTCCTTTCTGGTACCAAGAGCAGCAGTTGTCGGACAACGTGCTCACAGTTCCTTGGAGACGTGGGTCGGGCGTGATGGGCCGGAGACGTGTGCAAGAATCCAAGCAAACTAGGGAAATGATTGGACATGAACAGGATTGAACAGTCAACACCTTGAAGCAAGCAATATTCAAATATGGATTACCCTGCTTCAAACAGATGAGGTGTTTGTGAGAAGCACATTTTTTAGATTGCTCCTGCCTGTAAGTGATCTAAATGCAGTTGCTGTTCAGAAAGCCTGTTTGTGTTGGCACGGGCGAAGATACTTTCTCTTCCGAAACAGATTTTCACAAAACAAATCAGCACCCACCCCATTCACCAAACCAAAGTTTTATTCCTCGCTGGAGTGTTCCTTTGCAAGTCGTCGTGAAGAGCCTTTACGCTTGGGCCTTTCTGCTCAGAACTTGCTAAGGAGAAGATCGTTTCTGTTAGGAGCCCAGATGCCTCAGTCCGATGTTCTAGTTGAGATGCTAATTATGCTAATTCAAAATGAGCTGAAGAAGTTGAAGTCGTCACAGAATAATACTTTACCAGATGTTCAAGATGTTCAAGCCTTAAAGTGAGTTCAGATTAAGATGCTTTCAGAAGATGACCTGTCCACTTCTTGGCGGACGCCAAGGATTTGAACGCCCAGCCACACCTGAAAACCAACGACCGCAGGGGAAGGGGAGTGCGCGCCATGAACTGTGAAAGATGCCTACTGTATATTACTGTATCGTTTGCCTGTTTCGGACCACCTTCATCGATTGTTGAGCTTCTCTGCAATTAAACCCCTCTACTGTCTCCCTGGTTGCTTCAAAGGCAGCAAGAGGGTCAATGGGCTGATAGGTTGACAAGCGGGTTTCGGTGAGAAACTGCCTCACAGTCCCCTTGGTGCAGCTGGTCAAGGAATGCAGATTATGCACAGACTGTACAGCGGTCTGTGGCCTGCTGGGTGAGTTCGGGTCTTCGAAACTTCTTTTCGTCACGCCGGGGGTTCGCCTGCGTCTTCCCAGCAGGACCGCCCGGAGGAGATGCCGCTGAATCCTTCCAGTCGCTGCTGTGCCCTTTGGATGAAGCCCCTGAAACGTTCGAAGGGCAAGGCGTGGGAGGTCAGCCATGGCATGGATGTGGCAAGAAATTGATCTCTTGCCATCTCTTGCCCATCATGTTCTAGAGTTTTAGACTGACAAGACCCAAACAGTTTTTTTGAAGAAATGGGACTGACTCGGACTGAGATCCCATTGTGGAGATTCGAGTCGAGTAGAGTGTAGACTGTTGATCAATTGACAAAACACAATTTAGATTGTAAAACCTGTTCCTTTTGGGGGTCTTTTATTAGACAAACCTTCTACATTCCGGCTGTCTTGTGGGCCATCGGTCTGTTGTTTTGGTTTTCGCGACTCAGCCTACCTTGAGACCGTGTCTTATAGGCTGAAGACAAGCCACGGATGGATTTACTGGTGTACCACGGTTGACTCGGCATTCGGCAAGAGATCTGGGGCCTATCGGACGGGTCAAGTCGAAATTTGGCCACATGATGTTTACGAGAAAGGAAGAAAGGACCCAAGTTGGGCAGTCGGGTGGGTCTTACAGGGAAAGCTTTCGCCAGACATGCCGAGCATGCCAGTCGTGTGGCGACCGAGTCCCGTTTCGTCCACATGGGTTGCGTGCACCTGCGACTCAAGTGGAATACAGTCGTATGTTCTTGCGGCCTTCTGAACAGAGTACCTAGGCGATGACCGTGATGATTCAGCCTTTCGTCTTGAGCAATACAGCAGGGGGTGGAGTCTGAGGGAAGGGCTGGGCACCTGAAGAGGGAAATGGACGGGCATGTTTGGAGGATGGAAGTGACAGGACTGGAACTTTGGTGGATTTGCAAGTTTTTGTTGGGCGATGGATGCAGATAGTCTGCAAAGAGAAAAAATCAGTCTTTCTGTTTTCTGAAGGCACTTCCTGCTGCAACAGATGACCAATTCTTTTGATGCGACTGAGGTCTATGGTGAACGTGCTTTGGTCGGCAGGGAGATGAAGTGGCAGTCGCTTGAGCTGGGCACCAGCACTGGCCCGAAAGGGTCGCCTGGGATGCTTCTCTTGCGCCACCACACCACTTGGTCGCGCAAGTGATTGACAGACTCGGCACCGTGTGGGTGGTGTGGGCACCGTGTGCTGACATGGTTGACCCTTGGTGGAAATTGGATTGAACAGTTCTCAAACAGTTCGACTGGGTTGGTTTGGAGATTGGACGAGCGCCCTGGAGCTCCCGCGTTTCACGGGCTCTTTGTTCTGCGGTTTGGGGCCGAGGCCTTGCGATCCCTCCAGAAGGATTGCCCGAAGCCCAGTTTGGAGCAGATGTGCTCCGGCTCAGTAGCACTGGAAGCATTTTTGTTTCCCTCCTCCCCAACTCCTCTCAGTCAGGGACCACGTGATGTAGTTTTGCCGGCCTTGTTATGTAGTCCTGCGGCCAAGGCGTCAGTCAGAAGTTGATGGACGGATGAGGAAGATTGAACGGACAGGGCGGTAGAGACTGCGAACATTCTTGTAGAATTTAATCAAAAAGTATGTGGATGGTTGGGCGCAGGGGTCTGATAAAATACATTCACATGTATCAAAAACAACAAGGAGATCGAAGATCTCCCCTGTTGACCTCCAGCTCCCTTCTGAAGCAGAAAGCTGGTTGCTTGTGAACAGGATATGCTGTGGACGCTGACATCATTGTAGCTGCTGTAGCTTTAAAGGATTGTAAAAGATCTCGATCATTGTGGTTCAGCGCACGGTCTTGGAGGTACTACACTGTTACTACACATCATTTATCAAACTCCTGGTACTTGTACAGTGCAATAAGAGTCCCTCAAAGGCAGACCTGACCAAGCTCAAGACAACTTGGCTGGTTGCTCTTCAGTCAGTCTAATGTTGGTCAAGAACAACCTGCGGATACAACTTACTGAACAACGGATGGGAAGTAGAGACCTTTCAATGTTTCAACCTGGCAGATCGACCCGATGTGTTTTCGGGGCGGCATATCCCTGCAGCTGACCACTTTCATAAGGAAGACTTGGGAAGAAGGGTTGCCATACTTGCGTGGGCAGAACGGCTTTCTGCCCTCGCATGTTATAATGGCATATTGTCAGATTTCCAGGGGCAGAGATGGCAACGCGTGCCTCCGTGGGGACTTACCTGATGCCACCTGATGCTTTCGAAATGCCAGAAATTGGCTGAAGCAGATCTTAAGAACATGGAGCCATCGAAGGTAATTGTACTCATTTCATTACAGTGGCTAGCTGGTAGTTAGGAGGGGCCGAGAAGGGTCTTCCATGTTTGGGGTGAGTCAAACAGCTACAGGGAGTTCTCGAATCACTTGCTAATCACGAACAAACAGCTAGGATGTGTGGTTGGAGATGTGATTGAAAGGATCCGATCTGATCGTCTGTAAGTTCCTCACACCCGCGTTGTACTGGAGCTTTGTCGCAGGATTTTTCATCTTTGCATCTCAAAGTCTAGATGTGATTTTAATACTTTGTTGGATTATTTTATCATTTTAGCTAGAGGCAGGTCTCAGGTGTCAGTATAAGCAATCGCTTGCTTTGATCTAGGAAGACATAGTATGAAAGATGCAGAGACACTCTCAGGCGTGGGCTTACGGTCGGCGAGGCCGTTGTGGTGGACGGTCTTTCTTGTCAAAGAAAGGGGCCCGCAGATCTCATTTGTAGGCAAATGTCCGCCTTTCAGGGTATTGACCAGACTTTTTTGCAGTAAGTTTATATTTATCATTGCCAAACACCAGGGTTTAGGCCCCGTTTAGGACCAACTGCCGTTGTTGGTTGAATCTATGTTCCTTTGTGGGCATGATCGAGTGGAGAGAAAGAAGCCGAGCAGTGCAGAGGTAGCATCATCCGTTGCAATTGAAGCACTGTTACTACCCGCGCCACTTTTCACGACCTTCATGGTGACTGCCAAACGCATTCTTTTTCTTTTTTTCAGCCTTCAAGATGCTTTCACTGTTGTAAAACAGACAAGCCCTCAAGCCGCTCGAAATGTGCAGAGTTGCCAAACATAGACAATATAGTTCAATAGAACATGAGCGGGTATTCCCTTGTCAGTGCCCTGGAGTCATTCGGAGTGCCCAGTGCAAAGCCACGTCGCTGGATAAAGGCTTCGCATTAAAGAAGGACTGATCCAACTGCACTGGTGAGACATTAGCCCGTTTAAGTGGAGCCTTTGTCCAGCAGTAAGGCACACAATGAGAAGAATCAAAAGCAGAGCACCCCTCAAAAGCTTTGGCATGAAGTATCTACAAAGCCGGCCTTGAAATTCTCGCATCGATTTTATATTACTATACGCTGACTCTCCATAGATGGAAAGGCAAACTTACTATGTGTGGCGAAAAAGGAGTTCCGCATTGAATTTTCAACGACACCATATTGACGTAGCCAGACAGAGGGACAGACTGAGCTTTTCAGTTCTACAAAATGAGCAGACAAGTTCTCTTGGGGAGCTTGAACAGGGACTCAGTAATTCGCATGTAAAATCCAGAACTGGAGTCCATCCCTGCAACTTGGAGTTCATGATGGCACATTTGGTCAAAGAAGGGCAGAGACATTCAACTGAAGAGTCACGAAATCTGCTGATGGTCTGAAGCAGATCGTGCACAAGAGTCTTGAAGAGTCCAAAGAAGTACGAATCAAGAGAGAAAGGAACTTGTCAGTGGGACTACTTTGGACTTGTATGTACTTCAAAGACTTCAAGATTGCAGATGACGCTTTTGCACACATGAACAAGCAATGCTTGAGTTAGAGCAGCAAGAAATGAACGCCCAGAAGTAAATGTTCGCGTGGAGCCATTCACGTGGCCGCTGGTGCCATGCCATTCCGCAGCCGGAGGCACCTTGCCAAGAAAGTTTTGGAAGATCTGGCCTTGAGGCGACAATTGACATCCTCCAAATGCAATCAAACGCGGCTTTGGAGCCATACAGGGCGTAGACTTAGTGGACTTCCATATCTGGAGCATCCCCCAAACTGCTGCTGAGAGAAGCAAATAACTATGGCCCAAGACGGACCATTGCAGGCAGCAAAAGCTGCAAAAGAGGAATGTGGATGCAGAGTGAGATGGGGTGCGGTGCCGAATGGGGTGTGGTTTGACATTCCAGGGGTGCGGTGCCGAATGTGTCAGGCTAAGTTGCGTGCTGCTTTTGCTGGCCCTACGCTCCTGCTGGATTGGAGGCTCACATCGTTGTGGATTGATATGTCTTTCACCCCCCCCGCATATTTTGTGCAAGTTCCAGAACCCAGTACCCAAACGAGGGCTTGTTGTTGCTTGCACTATATATATATATATGTATAGAGATTTGCAACTCGTGGCTGAAGGGAGGTGTTGCCTTTTATTTTCTGCCCGTTTGCTTCAAACAGCTTCTAGGAGATCCTGGTTTTGATCGTCGATGTAGTTCAAACATCTTGTTTTGACCCCCAGAACACATCTCCTCGCATGATTCAAAACCGCGAGACTGGTTGAGTCTGGATGGGACACCAGTCCTAAAGGCCGTACTTTTGGGATGCACCAAAACCACTCCCAAAACCCAGTTTAGGTTGTAGGCCACCGCTATTATGGTGTTGGGATATTTCGACCGTTGGTCCATCCATCGGCTCAGCCGCAGGCCGCCTGGGCGGGCGAGCCCGGTGCCGGCTGGTCAGACAGGCGATGTTGGGCGAGAGGGATTGACGGGATTTATAAATCCCGCCCAAGCTTTGTGGGACTGTTGGAAGGTACGGACTTGGTGCGCCTTGGAGGGTCTTCGTACAGGGTCGTTATTCAGGTTCAATTTTGCAGAATTTGTGAAACAACGTCCGCGGCAGGAGAGTGAACACCATTTAAAACTTTTCAATTCGTCAACAACTGGGGAGCTGTGAAGGTTTGTTTCTTTGAGCGTTTTGGCGTTCGGACCATCGGTGTTTGGAACTGAGCGCCCTCCGGGTCGATGGGTCGAGGCCGATGCCGGTGATGCGCCCAGACCTCAGCCTCCACGGAGTTCCGACCGGATGGGACCAGACTCGACCGGGTTTCGTTTCACATTGTGACTCACCGCCTTTTTCGCATCCATCTCGTCCATCGTCCAGGTCCATTGTTGACATCGACGGAACCTCTGTTGTCCACACAGGATGTGTTCTTCTGTTGTCCACGGAGCCTTTTTTGGGGGGGTGTCTTGCGCATGCCTCGCGCATGCTTCGTGCGCCCTGAGAGCGCGGGCTGAGCAGGTCTTGGGAGCCGCCGGAGAAGATCTACTCCAATGCGATCCGCTCCTTGTGCCTGGGTGGTGGAAGATGCGGAATATCTGAATATCTGGATTCTGGATGTACGGAATGAATGCTCAAGGAGGACACTGGGGTAAGTTGTTCTATCATGTTCCAGAAGAAAGATCCTTTCGGGATTGCAACTCAGAAAGAATCCAGTCGGGATGGAAGCGGCTGTGAAGATATCCACGTATACAATTAGGAGTAGTGCTTCTAACTGAGCCCTCTCCCTGCAAAAGTTGGAGTGCCTGGTGCTTTTCTACTTTCTCTTCGGTTCATTGAAATCCGAAACGTCGACCCTTCGAAGCAAACGAGTCGACCCTTTTGGCCCAGCGCAGCAAACGACCGCCCCCAGGCCCGGCAGCGCCACGGCCTATCGGAAGGTCTTGCCTTTGGGCAAGGTGGGCGATGCGTCCCCAGACCGACGCTTCGTTGGACATCCCGTTGAGGAACAACCATTTTTAGAGGACAGACACATGCCGGCTCCCTTCTTGAGAATGTGTAGACTGTGGATTTGGCTTGTCTCACAATCATGGCACACCCAAGTAGAATGCGAACATAGAATTTGTGCCATTATGCCAGTCAGTGTGTTGGAGTATGGGACCAACAACAATAAGGGCGTTTGGAATCTCAACAAGTACAAGCCACAGCTTGCAGGCGGTGATGCGGCGGAAGGCGAAGCTTGCCACGTTCTCAGTTCTCAGATATTGCTTTTCATGTTTTTTCCTTGGTCCAGAGTGGTTTTGTTTGGTCCTCTGAGATTTCTACAAACGGGATGGGAGGAAATCAAAGGAGATCACGTGCCAGAGAGGAAGCACAGGAATATAAAGTTTTAGTGATAGACATGATTTTGACATGTTTGTTTACCCTTGGGACTCTTCGCTTTGTATGCCATAGGGGCTGTTCCGCCAGTCCATGCGGTCCCAGCAGTGCGCCCAAGAACGAGGTGAAGCCTGAACGGATCTCCAAAGAGAAATCCCAGAATGTTGCCGAGGAGTTGGTGGACAGCTTAGCTAAACCTGGGCTGTTCTTTCAGAGGAGCCAAATGACACTTAAAAAGAAGACACCCATTTGGAACAGTGTTCGACAGAAATGGAATGACACAGAAACCACATGCCTCATCATGACCCCCCAAAAATTTCCATGCTGCACTAACGACCTGGTCTCAAAGAAAGCACACGGTGTTGAGGTCTCGGTGATGCGAGGGCCCAAGTTGCCAGGCGGGATCACGGGGAAGGGCCGGGCGGTGTGACAACCAGACCCTCTTGTAGAAAGGAGATGGTGTGCAGATGGTGCGCCCCAAACCCACGAAGCAATGTGGGTCACCAGGGTGATTTCGGGAGTTCTACAAGCTGGTGTCACCACAAGCTTGGACGATTCAGACGGGCAGAGCAAACCTTGCCTGCTCAGTTGGATCTGATGGAGCTGGCCACAGCTGTACACAGCTCTATGGCGAGCTTCAGACGAGAAAGATGCTATTTTCAAAGAGAACATGGGACGTTCAATCTGATCTTCCCAAAACACAGGAATTCGCCGTTCGAGAATGCGGGAGGCCGGGACTTCAAGGGCGGCTTCTTGACGGCGCCGCATTTGGGGACACCCAGCCGGCTGGTCGTCTTCGAGGAGTGTGCCCGGTGAAGCCGTGACGAAGTGAGAGGGTCGAAGTCTTCGATGTGAATGTGGATTAAGAAGAGGGAGAGCTCCCGAAGACCCCCTGGATGGAAGAACGGGAATATATATATATATATATTGTGATTGCACGCATGGCAGGCATGAGTTCGTCGTTCCATGAGGGACTTTTCGGCGCGAGGTGAAAAAGCCCGATCGTTCCCTTCAGGCGAAGGGTAGTTGCTCCGCAATTGGTAGGCTCCCGCCATGGCTAGTTGAACCTGACCTTCAGGCGAAGGTCCTACGCATGGCAGCGATGACGTCTTCCACCTCGACTGAAGGTGGGCTCTGTTTCTTCTCGGGGGATTCCGAGGATGGCCGTGAGTATAAACGCTGGAAGCAATGGGTGAAGAATCGCCAGGGCATCCGAGCTGATGGACAAATGTCACCGCAAAACTGGAGTCTCATTTCCGGATGAGGCCAGGGGATGGCTGCTACTCCATCGAGCTGCTTTGTCAGAAGAGCAAAAGGCGGTGGTGATCGCCAGAGCTCGAGGTGACTTGAAGCGAGAATCCATCGCCTCCGCACTTCGATCCTGCTACCCAGAGCTGGTCATGACTCGCAAGCGTGCTGGAGTGGCAATTGCCGAGGAACAAGATGGTGGCGATGACACTGCTGAGATATGGGATGATGGTTTTTCCGACGTTGAGCAGTTGTTGGAAGATCACCATGCTGGTGTCGAGGCGGGACCCGACACCGAGACCTTCCAGGAGTCCGAAGTCGCTGAGGTTCTGGCCGCCACCTGGAAAGAGAAGAGGCAAGAGTTGAACCGCCTTCAGAAAACTCGTCAGTTTCAGAAGGCACGAGATGTCAAACGAAGCTTTCGGGTGGAGATTGAGGAGATGAAGAGGAACTCCACGTGCAATCGTTGCGGCCGCAAAGGCCATTGGGCACGAGAGTGCCGATCGAAAGAGACGACCAAAGGAGCTGGCAAGTTGAAGAATTCTGGATCTAGCGCTGCATCTGGTGCAGCGGTGGTGCAGGAACTGGATTTTGTGGCTTCAGTGATGGCGACGCCTACGTTGCTGGAGCGAGTTCGCAAGCATGTGAATGAGAAGAGTCCTGATGTCCCAGCCACCACAGAGGAGATCCTGCTTGTGTCGTCCCCAGGCTATGGTGTCCTGGATTCCGGCTGTGGTCGGACCATTGTTGGACAGACCACCCTCCGTGCCTTTGAGAAGATTTGGAAACAGAAGGGATGGGCAATCCCGAAGCCCATCGATGAAGTGCATCAATTCAAGTTCGGAAATGGTGAAGTGGAGACATCCATGGTCTCCATTCAGATGCCTGTCGTCTTGGCTCATCGCCGAGGCGTGATTCGTGCTGCAGTGATCAAGGGTGATGCTCCATTGTTGTTGAGCCGCGCAGCACTCAAAACATTGGGTGCGACTCTGGACTTTGCACATGACAGCCTCCAGGTGTTTGGAAAGACAATTCCCCTCCAAACCAACAGTGCTGGACAGTATGTAGTGCAATTGACTGGGGAGGATTCCGTGTGTTCGCCCGCAGCCGCTTTTACAGAAGTGATGGCATCTGTGGAGGCCTATCCAGGTCCCACGGCATCTCATGAGCATGTTGATGAGCCGCAGCTTGAGCCGGAAATGCCTGCGGCAAACGCCCCCGAGTTGATCTCGCCGTCAGCACCTGACACGGCGATTTGGGAGCAGGAGGACTGTGATGTCGTCACCACCCCATGGTTGTCTCGCCAAGGGCCAGCATGGAAGCATGTGTTTCGTAGGCGAGTAACCGACATCCAGACCTCAAAGGTCATCGATGATACCCGGATAGATCCAGGGACCCCTCAACACAAGACTATGGTAAAGTTCTTTGAACGCATGCCGCATGTGAAAACCGAGTTTTTCTTTGTAGGAAAACCATTGGAGGGTGTCATGACTGAAGAGTGGCAACCATCTCATCACCAATGCCGACAATTGCATCGGCAGGCTCAGGCATGCCTCGCAGTTCAAGAGGGTAGGAAAACCAAGCGTTGTTTGGCGATGGAGGTGTTTTCATCCCCTCGGTTCACGACAGCCGCCGAAGCAGCAGGTTTTCGTGCCAAGTCATATGACCTAGTAAATGGGTTTGATTTCCGCCTCAGCCGTCGCAGGAGCACCGTTGAACAAGAGCTCATGACAGAGAAGCCACGTCTTCTGGTGTTGTGCCCGCCGTGCACTGACGAAGGCGGGTGGATGCACCTGAATAGCACGAAATGGACCCGTCTAGAGTACCTCCAACGAATGGCACAGAGTCGTAGTTATATTAGATGGTGCTGTAAGCTATTCAGACTACAGGTATCTCTCGGAGGTCGAGCAATGTTTGAACATCCGACGGGGTCTAGGTTGTGGACATATCCTGAAGTTCAAGCCCTGTGCCGTCGATTCACGACAGTCAAATTGCACATGTGCAGGTATGGGCTTCGTTTGCCTGAGAGTCATAAATTCATCCGCAAGAGCACCCGGTTGCTAGTGACTCATGAAGACATGTCGACCCTAGGTTTGTTATGCCCTGGAAACGGTGATCATGCTTCACATGACGTAGTGGCAGGCAGTGCCCCAGGGGTTTCAATTAAGTGTCAGTGAATACGCTGGACGATACCCACACCAGTTTGTGCAAGCAGTGCTTCAAACCGTAGAGGCCTTTCGCATGAGCAGTCACGACCCGAGTCCCATGCAACCATCGGCGGAACCTGCGGTGTGCATTCTCGAAGATGCGATTCCTGAAGAGAGTTGGTCAGAGGTCTTGGCTGTCAATGCCCTGAGTCAACGAACGGATGCAGAGCTCATACCGGTTTTGACCAAACTGCACAGGAACCTGGGCCACCCACCAAATTGTGACTTGGTCCGGATTTTGCGTCACGGAAATGCCAGCGAACAAGCTCTCAAGTTAGCCCGTGAGCTGTCCTGTGATTTTTGTAAAAGCCAAGCCAAACCAAAGAGTCCTCTTCCTGCACAGCCGAATAGGGTAACTGAGTTTAACCACCAAATAGCCATCGATGTGAAACATCTTCGGGGTTGGCAGCCAAACCAAAAGATCAAAGCTCTGAACATTGTAGATACAGCCAGCAGCTTTCAGCGCATGATTCCGTTCTTCCAGACGGAAACCGCAAGTCTATTGCGTGAACAGCTCAATGAACACTGGATTGCCTGGGCCGGAATTCCAAGGGAGATCATCATGGACCCTGCCAGGACAAATCTGGGTGACCCCATGACTGTTCCCGCCGAACTTGACGGGACACATGTGCGACCTATCGCAGCCGGCGCGCATTGGCAGTTAGGGAAATGCGAATCTCATGGTGGCTGGTTCAACCGTGTTTTGGAAAAGTTGATCGATGACTACTCCCCCCGAAATAGAGAAGAATGGCTAGAATGTGTTTCTCACGCCCATATCAAGAACCAGATGATTCAGGTCCATGGATACACTCCTTATCAGTTTGTGTTTGGCCGCAATCCACATGTTCCTCAGGATTTACTCAGTGAACCATTGTCCATTGCGCCAGCGACCGCCTCATTGACCGATGAGGCAATCAGTCGGACACAAGCCATGAGGACATCCGCTCGAATGGCACTGGTTCAAATGCAGGACGACCGAGCAATGCGAGTCGCACTCCTGGCTCGACCTCGGAAACCAGTTTCCTTTCAACCAGGGGATATGGTGGCCTACTGGCAAAACCAAAAGTGGGTTCAAGGTCAGTTGCAGCAAGGAGGTCAGTGGTATGGGGTAGCCATTGTGTTAGGACATGTTGGCAGAAATCTCGTGTTGATCCATCGTAGGCAGGTGATTCGATGTGCACCTGAGCAAGTCTGACCCGCGACAAATGAAGAGAAGTGCCTGATATCGTCTCCTGATGTTGAACTGCTAGGGATTAAGGACTTGATAGATAAAGGTAATCTGCACAGTCGTCAGTACCTAGACCTACTCCCACAGTCATATCCACCACAAGAGGGGGACGCAGACTCAAGGGAACATCCTGCGGAAACTGATCCAATGTCCGAAGCCAGTCGACTCCGTCCGCCAAGTGACGAACCTAGAATGGTCGAACAACGACCTGGTGATGGGCCTATGCCAGCCGTGACATCGTCGGCCACGGAACCAGAAGAACCAGCGGCTCAAGAAACAGATCAATCTAGTCATCCAGAAGGAAGTCCCAGTGAGCGAGGAGATGTCAGTTCATCACCCTATCCATCGGGACCCCCAAGAGAATCCGAAAGCTCTGGTTCGTACGGACCGGTCCGCCGTCGAGTGTCCGGGAAAGATGGTCCGATGTCGCTGTGGAGACCTCCAGCCCTCAAGCAAGAAGACTTCATAGAAATCGTGAAAGAGGTAGTTCCCCAGCTAGTCGAAGATGCATGTGCCGACCGACCCAAGAGACCTTTTTATCACCCTCTAGTAATCCCGAAGGTGAAGAACCAGCCGCAAGTCGCCCGAGAACAGAAGAAACACTGAGTGTTCAGGATGTCTCCGATCTCGTGTCACTTGCCGACTCGGAGTCCTGGGAATGCTTGATGGCCGAATACCTTAAGAAGAAGATGTCAAAAGAATTGCCTCATAGCAACAATCCCCCAGAACTTCAACAGAAGGTCCAACAAGGGAAACGAGCGGAATGGGAAACGATCACTTCAAAACCACATGCTGTTCGAATGCACTACGGTAAGAAAGCAAAACAAATTCGTGAACAGTATGGCAATCGATTCATCGGCAGTAGGTTTGTTTTGACCCGCAAGCCAATAGAGGAAGGCATGGAGATAGATCCCAATGACTTCAATACCTTCACGGTGAAGGGCCGGTGGTGTCTGCAAGGCCACCTCGACCCCGATCTCGAGGTAAAGGCCGAACAAGGCCTTTTGAAGTCGCCCACACTCAGTCAACTTGGTCGAATGTGCCTCCTCCAAGTGATCGCATCGCAAAAGTGGGTGTTGCAATTAGGAGATATAAAAGGAGCGTTCCTCGAGGCAGGTCCGCTAAACCCTGAATTTCGTCCACTGTTTGCGCATCAACCCGCAGGTGGCATTCCGGGAATCCCTCCTGACGCTGTGATAGAGATTGTTGGAAACCTGTACGGACAGAATGACGCTCCGTCGGCCTGGTTTCGTGAGTTCAGCGGGTTTGTCAAGTCTCTAGGTTGGCACCAAAGCGTTCTGGACCCGTGCCTGTTCACACTTCGAGATCCAAAAGATCACACACTAGTTGGTGTGATGGGTGTGCACGTTGACGACACGGCCGTTGGAGGCGCCGGAGACCACTTTGAAATGTCCATCAAACAACTCCGTGCCCGCTTTCCGTATCGGAAATGGCGAATGCAAGGTGGAGAGTTCTGTGGTGCATGGTATGATCAACAGAAAGACAAATCGATCATCATGTCAATGAAGTCATTTGCTGAAAAGATTCGACCAGTGAATGTGCCCAAGGACACTTCTCCGTCCGAGCTTTTGTCGCCTGGTCAAATCAAGGTCCTACGAGCTGTAAATGGAAGCCTTAACTGGCTACCCTCTCAAGCCAGACCTGATTTAAGTGTGCAAACAAGTCTGTCCCAGCAGTCCTTTCCTCGACCAACCATAGAGGATTTCAGGATTGCAAATCAGGCCGTCAGACGTGCCCGTCAGCACAGGGAAGTTGGGGTGACGTTCAATCCAATTCCACTGAACGATCTAACCATAGTGTGTCACAGTGATGCAGCTTTTGCAAATAGAGGAAACCACACACAGGGTGGTTACATCATCGGTTTCACCGATAAGAAGTTGCACCTAGGACATGAAGCCCCATGGACCCCCGCCGCATGGCGAAGCTACCGCTTACAGAGGGCGGTGAGCAGCACGCTGGCCGCAGAAAGCCAAGCTATGTCAGTCGCTTCAGGAACTGCAGAGTGGATCTTGTTGCTTTTGGCTGAGACCATAGACGGCCCCCTGCAGATTCGCAGCTGCAGGAATGTGCTCAAAAGGCGACAGCCGATCATCGTCATCGACTGCAAGAGCTTGTACGATCATTTACACTCCCCGTCCTCACCAACATCCATAGAGGACAGACGAACCAGCATTGATGTAGTGATCATCAGGGAGAGCTGTAAGAACATGGAAGCCCTAGTTCGGTGGGTACCCACAAATAGGATGTTAGCAGATGGACTCACCAAGGACGCCGGTGATCCCATCGATCTCCTCCGTGCTTGTATTCGTAGGGCATCACATCAGATATCCCCGGAAGAAACGGTGTTAAAAATGCAAGCTGCCGAAAAACAGATTCGACGGCAAATCCAAGAGCAACGCTTGAAGGATTCGAAAGGTTCCGGTGGGGATCCAACACCTGAGGGGGTCTCAGGTGATTCACAAGTGGCAAACTTGAGTAAAAGTGAGGGTTCATTGTTTGGGAACAATGTAGCTAGGGTCGATACTCAGGTCTATGCAAGTTTTGCTTGTGAGTTTGTGTATGCACGTCGCAGCCTTTTTCTCGACCGATCGCATTGAAGGCGATCGCATTTTGGAACGATCCATCGAAGTGCCTGCTTCTCAGCGGTTTCCTCCCAGCCTCACCATGGCTGGTACCAGTCAGCGTTTGTCCTCAGCAGTTGATGAGTTGCTGCAGAGGGTCCGAGATGAAGGATCCATGGACTCCCTCCTGAAGGAGCTGGGGTATGAGTTGGGTGAGTTCGAGCTTGTTCGTGAATCCGAAGGTCAAGGAAGTATGACGGATGCTTCCAAGAGGCGCATGGTTGATGAAGCCTCACCACCACCACAGATGCCTATGGTTCGAGCAGCCAAAGCTCGTGCCACGTCAACATTACCGTCCGGAGTGAGCAGCATATATGGAAGAGTGGGGCCGTACACTGGTAACGGCCGGAAAGTTCGAGAAGCACGAGATTTCGTACTCAGAGCTGGCATCATCGAGTGAGACTTCTAAGGTCAAGTACGTTCAGTGGATGATCAATCAGAGTGACCGCAGTGACCTCTCACCCGTGGTCCAGGACATGGCCAATTATTTTGTGGCCAATGCCCGCGAGAAGGAAGGACATGGCCCATGCATCCCCGGCTCGAGCGTGATCCGAAAGTTCAAAAGCTGAAAAGATGAATGCTGATGAGATGGCCGCTTGTCGTTCGTTGGAGCACCCATGATCCATTATGAGCCTTAGGTAAGGCATCCAAGCACTGGCTCCATTCGAATTTTAGAAAATATATCCAGTTGTGATTGCACGCATGGCAGGCATGAGTTCGTCGTTCCATGAGGGACTTTTCGGCGCGAGGTGAAAAAGCCCGATCGTTCCCTTCAGGCGAAGGGTAGTTGCTCCGCAATATATATATATAGGTTAAACATGGTTAAACATGTTAAACAAACTGAAAATTGAAGGTCTTCCCACTGTATTTAGAAACAAACACACACACAAACACACGCACACACATGTGGACAGCAGCTGAGATGTGGAAGGGGAGAGGATCGCACGCTCAGCGTGCACAATCTATTTTTCATGTGGCCAGGATATGCCAGGACTTTGCTTTCCCTTGGTTTCGGGGGCTATGTTGGTTGGCCTCAATACCCAGGACCTTAGGAACCAGGCTTCGGTTAGAGTCAGAGATCTGCAGGATCCACCAGTGGCGGTGGAGAAGCTTTCGGAGGAGGAACGGGCTCGGGATCTCAGGGCCGGCTCACAAGTAGAGAGTTTAAGTACTGTATGTTTGAGTTTAGTTCAATTTTCGTTTCGTTAGGGGATGTGTCACTTCTTTAATGCATATTGAAGTTATTGTGCATGCTGACATGGTCACCGCTGGCAGGGCATCAAGGTGACTGCCAGTGACTGCCCAACCCGGCTTTGGCATTGTACCAACTGCAAACGGCAAAAGGTTTGGGGAAGACAACCAGATGCGCTAGACTTGTCAACCCAAATGAGAGTTTAGCTAAGGTGTCGTACTCATCCCAAGCCCTTGAAGGTGCATCGTTTGCGAGCTACACTCACATCTGGTCCCTGGTACCAAGGTGTGAGCTGTTTTGGCGCTTAACCAAGTCTCCCAGTCCAAGTCGCCCGCCCGGCCTGGCCTTACTAGGAACAAGAAGCTACTAGGGGCTCCTGGCATCGCTACTAGGAGCAAGGGTTCGTTTGGGCTTCGCCCCAAGGCCTTGCAAGGACGCGAACGCGCCTTCGGCTGCAAGGCGCCGCCCGCTCGAACCGCCCGAACGCCGCCCCACGTCGCCCCGCGCGCGGAGAGGCGGTCTTCAACCCCCGCTGGCGGAGCGCCAGCAACGTGACCTCCGTCTTTTGGGAAAAGGATCCCAGCATTCCAGGTGCGATTGGGACCGTTGAGGTGTTCCGAACCCCTCCCAAGAAGTCTCGAAGGGAATTGGTTTGACATGTCCATGTTGGTGGTCGGGAGGGTAGCTGTCCATTCTTTGGTTCTTCTCGGATTGTGTGTGCTAGCATGCCATGAGCTACTTGTTGCCAAGGTTTCTATATACAATGTCAAGCAAACAGATGACCAGTTTAATAAAGAGCGGCCGTGAATTTCAGGAATTTGGCTAAAACCCGCAAAAGCGATAGGCCGCCCTCAAGAGCAAATCATGCTCTCTTCTTAACAGGACGTTTTGAGACGCTCAAATGTGACGCGTGATGCTATCCACAAATCGAAAAGGTGGGGTACACTGTTGTCAGAGACATACCCTGCGCTGGCACGGTGGAATACGTTGGATGTCCCTTTTCTTTTTCCTCCTGTTCTGATTCTTTTCGCCTGTTGATTTCCATTTGGCTGCTTTTGCTGCCGATCCAGGCTACCGCGCGCTGGTGGAGCGGCCCAATGCCGTTCGAGTGCAAGGCGAGTGGCGCCGAGTGGCGTCGCATGGCCCCGAAAGGAAACCGGAGCCGTGGCCGAGCTGACGGTCTTTTGCCAGGCTACGACCCAAAGGGTCAGGCCGTGGACTATGTGGCCAAAGGTTGGGAAGCGCGGCTGATCCAGCAGGCGTTTTCGGGGTGTTTTGCGGGGTTGGCGCACGGCTCGCCGCGCTTGGAGGGTGGTTGGACCAGTTTTTGTGATCGGGGGAATCTCTGAGCAGTGCAGCACCACCACCACCACCACCACCACCACTACTACTACTACTACGACTACTACTCCTACTACTACTACTACTACTACTAACTACTACTACTACTATTACTACTAACTACTACTACTACTACTACTACCTACTACTACTACTACTAATTACTACTACTAATTACTACTACTAATTACTACTACTAATTACTACTACTAACTCTAACTACTAGTACCAACTCTAACTACTACTACTACTACTACTACTACCACTACCACTACCACTACCACTACCACTACCACTACCACTACCACTACCACTACCACTACCACTACCACCACTACTACTACTACTACTACTACTACTACTCTAACTACTACTCTAACTACTACTCTAACTACTACTCTAACTACTACTCTAACTACTACTAACTACTCTAACTACTACTAACTACTCTAACTACTACTAACTACTCTAACTACTACTAACTACTCTAACAACAACAACGACGACGACTACTACTACTACCACCACGACGAGGACTACTACTACTACTACTACTACGACTACGACTACGACTACGACTACGACGACGACGACGACGACTACTACTACTACTACCACGACTACGACTCCGACTCCGACTCCTACTCCTACTGCTGCTGCTGCTGCTACTGCTACTGCTACTTGCACTTGCACTTTTATACAATACTCCTGCTGCTGCTGGTGCTGGGACCTGACCTTGGGGCGTTGAAGAACAACCTCTGGCCATTTTCACATGGCCTTTTTGACTGCCTTCGGGTCGACTGCCTCCATGGACCGGGAACATCCATTCGTTTGTGGCGACGCGGGACAATCCGGAGACATGGGAGGCCAATGATCTTTTGAATGGCCTGACCTTTGTGGATCGCTGCGAGATGCGATCCCTATGCCACCTGGACGCACGCCAGGGCCATAGTGCGGACGTGCGATTCGGCTCGGTTTGGGGAAGGACGAACGAGCCGACAGCATGCCGGGATGAGATGGATGAGAGGAGCGTCACATCTCTCTTTGGTATGGGGTTGCAGAGGAGGGTCCTTATCACCAACCAGGAAGTGGAGAGCAAGTCTTTTGATATCTTTTGATACATGTCACACATGTCCTTCAGAATCTCTTTTTGGAATTTGATAGGAAAGAGGCACGGTCAAACTCCTTTTGATATTCACCCAAGCGCCCGATCCCATGTGACAGGCTTAAGCTCTTCAATGTTTCTTCCGAGCCTTAGCGGTTGCATCGACAATGTTGCTTGATGAAACCACGATGTCTAGATGCACTGAGGATGAAACCTGAGGTTGTTTGTCATCTTCCAACCAAAGCAAGTTTGCCATCTGTGCCAAGTCGCCCAACCCCAAAATGGCAGCCGGCTGAACTCGACTGGAGGCAACGATCCTTTGCCGTCTGACTGCCCGGTGCTGGGCGCTTTCCTCTCCAGGCGTAACGTTGTGGCTTCCGTTTGACCTTGCTTTTCGTGAGGTGCTTGTGAAGATAGTGAAGCTTTCTCCTTCGCTCGGATCCGCTTTCTTTCAGATGGAACTAACTCAGGTGGAAACTTGACCCCAAGTTCTGTGGAAGGATTGGAGATCAATTCCAAAATCCCTCCGAGGTCACGTTCGAATCACCGCCCAATGCCACACCCGAACGCAACCACGTGCGCGTTCGGATCTTGGCCAACGTGGTGCTCCAAGAAGAACTTTGCCAGGCCTTCCAGGCCACCGTTGAGCGAGGAGGATACGAAAGCAGCTGAAACCGGTGGCAGCAAGGGGATGCTGGTGCGGCTGGCTGGAGTTGCCATTTGGGAGCCAATTTGGAGAATCTCAACACTTCTTATGGGGGCCGCTACCCTCATCCTCTCCCTCTCTATTTCGATTCTTTTCCATTCCTTGGCTTTGGCGGCTGAGACGCCAGGGATTCCTGCCGAGCTTCGGTTCCCCCAGCGTGCTGCTCATTGGGAGTTTGCTCCTGCGCCACTTGGCCGGCTGGGGAGGTGACGGCGTGGTGAATCAAGAAGACCCTAGTAGCGTCCTTGCTCCTAGTAGCGATGCCAGGAGCCCCTAGTAGCGTCCTTGCTCCGGTTTACTGAATTTAATATACTGAATCACTATCACCTCACAGTTGGTCGACGGTCTGAGAATCGTGCCAGATACAACATGCGTTGAAACAAGCAGGTGAGGACATCCTCCAACACATGGTGTTTGTCGTCCGGGTATTGGAGGGTGCACGCTTTTTTCCACAACCTAGCAGTAGACCTGCGAGCTTGGCTTGAAACACGAGACATGTTTTGCCATGAAAGTGTAAGGGCCGTGATTTTGTTATGAAATTGTACCGAAATCCGTTGATATCCGTTGATCCATTCCAGAGCTTTTGCTCCTTTTCCCAGCCATGATGACCAAACAATCCAAACAGCGGTCGGATGCGCATCAGGACGATTTGGATTCTTGCGAAACCCTGGAAGGACCTTTTGGAAGCGCATTGCAAGGACTCGATATGACATGCTATGACTAGAAGGTCTCTATAGATCCCAGCATTGGCTCAAGGGAAGATCTACGATGGGTTTCCTGTCGATTTTCCCTTATGTAAACCAGTTCGAATAGACGCAGCCAGTGACCCTTCGAGGTCTACCAGCCCGGGAGGTCGAAGACTTCTCCGCCGGTGAGGCGCAACTCGCAGCGCGATGGGCCCAAAGAGGTCCACGTTTCGGGCGTCGTGTTTTGGAGTAGCTTCTTGCTCCTAGTAGTATGGCCAGGAGCCCCTACAGTAGTAGCGTCCTTGCTCCTAGTAGTATCCCTACAGTAGTAGCGTCCTTGCTCCTAGTAGCGATGCCAGGAGCCCCTAGTAGCTTCTTGCTCCTAGCAAGAAGTTACTAGTAGCGATGCACTTGTTACTAGTAGCTTCTTGCTACTAGTAGTAATGGCCTCCAACCTAATAGCGATGGCCTCCACCTAGTAGCTTCTAGCTACTCATAGCGATGCACTTGTTACTAGTAGTGATGGAGTTGGTTCCATCGGCTGGGGTTTGGTCAGGGGCGTCCTGTTTGGTTGGCCAAGATGTAGGATTTGGCTCATCTCGGCTCCAGAAAGGTTGGCAGTCGGTGGTTTGTGCAACCTCTGGAAGACAAGGGTATGTCCATCGGGGATCAAGACATGCATCGCCCTAAATAGCCATTGAAAGAGATAGCCACCAACTCGCCAGTCATAAAACAAAAACACAACGTGAAAAACACCAGAATTAGGGGCTCCTGGCATCGCTACTAGTAACAAGGGCCTTACTACTAGGAACAAGAAGCTAGTAGAAACAAAGAATTATATTAGAATCCAATTGAAGAACACATAGAAAACACAGAAAGAACACACGCTCGGGAAAGTGACCGTAAGGTCTAAAACCAAAGAATCTCACAGTTTTTCTAAGGTCTCGAGACTGAAAAACGAAAACATCTGATGTCACGACATCGAAGAGCCCATCTGAAGAACCGATCCAAGACGGCCCATGACTTGTTCTAACTACAAACGGTGGCCCAGGAGGAAGTGAACAGTCAAAACCTTGCAGGTACAGGACCTTCTGGCTGAATCAAAGCTTCGTTGGCATGGCTAGGGAAGCAGCTGCCGTGCCCCCTGCATACTTGTACCAAAAGGTAACCTACTGTATGATTCCAGTGTACACTCTGACATTGGTTTGCAGTTAACTCAGTTCCCAAGTCGAAGAAAGGTGGTGGAACAGAAAGGCGAAGAGTCCAAGCATTTGTAGGTGTTTGAACAAAGTGGTTTTTCTCGTGACTGCAGAACTCAGCGGTGGCGAACAAGCGAATGGCGTGGCACAGCTGCAGAAACCGAGGTTTTGTGGTAGCATGAAGAACCATGGAATCAAACAAAGCAAATTAGACAGCGTGGTCAAAAGTTCAGTTCAGCAGGTAGACAGGGATGATCAGTCCCTGCATCCTGGTCATCTGCATAGAGCTTCGTTGGCGACAGCTATGCAGTGACCCTGTCGCCCACTGCTTGAATGTGAAAGAAGGAAAAGGAACTCTTAGTTACAGAGGTTGACACACACACACACACATGCGCATTTTTTCGGGTTCCAACATTCCGCGCCGAGAGGTGCAGGAAGCAGCCAAAGAGCTTCGAGATGTATGGGGCCCCGTTCGGACAGTCTGCCCGTCGTCCGAGGCTTCTCCGGTCGCTGCCCGCCGTTTGGGACCGACCAAACACACTGGAAGCAAGCAGAGAAGCCGAACAAGTTCCCAGCAGGAGGGTACTTTTTTGCCAAAACCAGGCCCGTGGATTTAGTCCCTATATTCCTGTGAAGTGCTGAGACCGGATGATCGACTTTCGCCCCCGAGGCTCTGGCGAGTGGGGAGCATCCCTTGGGCGTGGCTGCACCACAGCCCGGGACGTCCAGCGCGCGCGACAGGAGGGAATGTCCTGGCACCCCAAAGCCAGGCCAAGTTACGGAGCAATACTACTGGTTTGATGAAGTTTGGTTCGTTTCTTGCTTTGCATTCCAGGGGTTTCTGATGTTCTCTGCAGCTCTGGTCACTTCGGCCGAAGTTTGAGACACCCCCCAAAAGCTTCATTGAATCCTTTGTGAGTCATCCTTTTGCCAAGTACAACAGCCAACACCAGACTTGCCAGACTTCCCTTGCATCTTTGTGGTCGAACCTAAAAGACCACTTTGATAGCCAAAAAGAGATAAAACGAGTCCCTGTTGCTGGATGGGGGAGGGCAAAGATTCAGGTGTACCTTAAGGCATCCTTCATTTTGTCTTGCGACATCATGACTCAGTGATCCGTGAACCACTGGAGTGTGCAAAAGGTGAAGGCAGAATTAAGTTCACTTCCCAAGAGAATGATGAGCTCAGATGGGCAATGGCAATGCCCAAATCCTTTGACCACCGTGAACTCCCTTGGATATTTTCTGGAACTTGCTGTCGACTTGGGAGATCGACCCCCCGTTCCCGCCTGGACGCTCCCAGGTTCGGCAAAGGCATTCGAATGGTTTGCCCGGCTTGTTGCTGAGATGGACTGCTCGGAGCAAGGGCCCATAGCAACGCCAGGTTCTCCAATGGTGCCAAGTGAAAGGTGTCGATCTCCTTCTTAAACCGTTCATCCCTCTCTGATCCAACAACTTCAAGTCGCTCGCCTCCAAGTCAGTGGTCATCCCCCTCAAACCTCTGCAAAATACCCCCAACAGCGCAGAAGAACCAGCTCTGCCCTCTCAAAGCACTCCATCCATCGGCGTTCCTGACTTCATTAAGTAGGCACCTACGGTGTTTCAGGTGGAGACTTGTGATGAGGTGCGTTCTAGCTTCTCCCACGGGCTTTAAACACATGCACACTCCCGGCGGTTCACTTGGGCCCGCCGGGGAGGTGGCCATCGGTGAGACGGAGGACAACATCGAGAAGCTCACCACCCGAGCGCAGATCTCCGAGGCAGCGCCCGGTCGGACGGAAGGTGGACCGGTGGACCCCCAAACCATCTGGGCGAAGCCGACGCGATTAGTCCCGAAGCTTGCGATCGGGTCATTCCACTGCGGTGAGAAACAAAAAGAGAAACGCTGGGACGGCGCAGGAGCACCGGGTCTTCAAGCCCACGATTCTCATCAACCCGGTGGTGACTGCGAAACCAGGTGGGCCAGCATGGGCTGTGTTGGCGACTGGTTCGATCAGGTGCTAAGGCTTAGTGCCGGTTTTGCTTAGCCGAGATGACTTGGATTTTCTTGGTTAGGAATGGCAGGGACCTCTTCCGTCCTGGTGTTGAGGCACCTCCCAGGCCTTCTTTTTCGAGCGGCTCGGGACCCTGGTGTCTTCACCCTGGAGCCCCAAGAGCCAACCGGCAGTCACAATGGAGAGTAAACTCCGACTCCCATATTGAACTTAAAAACAGTCTGTTTGGGGACCAGTATGTACAAAAGATGGTCTGAACTGCTTCAAGGCACAGGGAAGAATCATCCATCAGCAGTGGAGTCTTGGACTCTGCAGAGTCAGAAGAAGTCTACATGTCATGAGTTGGTCTTCGTCTAAAATGTCTAAAACCATCGTCTTTTTGTGCAGGGGTCAGTATACACGAATTTGTCTGCAGCTCTTGGCTGATGTGACAGCACTAACTGTAAGTCTGACAAGTACAGAGATGTTGCAATTGAGCCTCACCCACGGATTGAAAGACTTGATGAGACGCACTGCTCCAGGCTTGTGACCCAGCTCTTGGTACTCAGCTCCTCTTCACATTACAAAAACCTCCGTTCATTTGTACGATTGCAGGGGGACTAGCTAGGATACTTCGCTGCCCAAGGCACCATGTATTAAAACCACATCAAGTAAGTTGCTTTCACACCCTACCCTGCATGGGTCGCGCTGTACTCGCAGTGGCTGCGGCCGTCTTGTCCCTGCGACACGCCTTTGTGTCACCACAGCCAGGCAGCTTGACATGTGACCACTCTTCAGCCCTGGACTCGCAGGGCCGAAGTCATTTCGCCAAGACTTGGGCTAGGCTTTTGAGATTCTGTTCAGGAACTTTCAAGCACAGAAGTGGTGTGGATGCAGTTGCACACCCTCTCAGTTAGCTGGTAGGCGCGGTACGACGCCCGCAGATGGCTCGCCGCTTTTTCGGTGGGGCAGCGCCTGCTGCTACTGTGCCCGGGCTGCAAGGAGCTTCCTCCCGCTAGACCCCGGCTTAGACCCCCAAACAAAACCAACACACCGCCCTTCGACGAACGGCGCTGAGCACTTCACCACCGCACCCGGACTCCGTCGAGCACCGTGCTCCGAGGCCGTGGTGGATAAGGCGCCCAGCTGGGACGAGCTGAAGTCGGCGTTGGAAGCTGAAGCCTCGCCCGAGTTGAAGGCGTGGAGCGGTTTCTGCGCGGGAGACGCGGATGGAGGATGTGGATTTGGATGGTGGTGGTTGGGTGCTTGGAGGTGGATTTGTGGCTTCGATTGGCCCACTGGATTGAAGGACGATGCAGTCCGTTTTTCAAGAATCGAAAACAAGATCATGGAGGGGCATCCACCTCATGAGGTCCTGGTCAGTGAAGCAGAGCTGTTTCTTTTTCAACCCTGGGATTCACGGATTTGGGATTGAAGCGGCTCAAAAGTTCCAAACACGTGAGCTTAAGAACACCGCGAGATCTCGGCCTGACTTGCTGGGCAGCGGTTGATCTCACTCAGAGATCCCACGCAATGGGGTGTCACTCACCATTGAATCATATTTGATGATCTTGTAGCTGGATGAGGGCAGATGAGCCCGCAGCTTCCACCGGGTTGATCAAGCTTCCTGCAAAGAGTCAAGGATTCATAAACTCTTGATCAACCAATCACTGCCCTGCACAAACCCTAGGCTGATGAATGGACTGGTGACTAGTGGAATTCCGTCCACCACTCCCTTTTCACACGACCGAGTATCCCACCAAAAGCAGAAACAACCGGACGGGCCAAGCCGCAGGAGGCCGCTACGGTGGGGCAGAGTAGTGGGGGGTGAGCTGATGGGGGCCGAGCGCCTCCATCGCAGGACTTCCGCACGAACTTGGCGGAGGGCCATGTGGCCAATGCCATGGCCAAGCTTCGGGTCTTCGGCCAGGAGCGTTGATTCGGGGGACAGAGGAATGAAGGATCCAAGAAAGCTACACTAGTGTTTCTTTCATGTTCTTGCCCCCACCTTGACCATTTTGAACATGCCGTGACCACAAGGAAAAGCAGTTCTGGGATGCTTTGAACAACAAGGAAGGACCTTCTTCTTCTTCTTTTTCTTCTTCTTCACTATATAAGGGGGACTGAGTGAGAATGACACTTTCCATTTTTTCTGTTTATTCTTTTTTCAGTTGGTACCAATTTGAATCCATTCCCAGCCCTTGACCTCCACACCGAGCTTTTGCAACCCACGTTGCGAATGTCAAAGAACCGTTGTTTGTGCCCAGGGGGCAGAGGCCACCAAGCGGGTGACGCTATACAGGGACTCGGCCTCCTGGTGTCCATACTGTCACAAGGCGGGAGCTCCGCTGTTCACGAGTTTCCAAGCATCATTTTTAAATTGTTGATTCTTTGGGATGGTCATATTCTATAGGTTTAGTGAAACATCCACCGAACTCCAATTAAGGTGCTTGGAACATCTTGGAACATATGGTCCTTCTTTTTCTTGAGCATCCAATCCTTTTTCCTTCGTTGAGGATGATGGTAGCTATACTGTCATACATTGGATCGTAAATGAAGATCCAGCTGACGTCAGCAACAGCATGGGACTCGTGGGCCATTCACAGATCGTGTGTGGGCTTGGATGAGTGCAAGAAGCTGGCTGGAGGTTTGGATGCTTTTAGAGGAGAAGCAGATTCCTTACAACGTCAAGAAGGCCAATGGGCACCCAAGGTTCGGTAGGAGGGCAGCAGATGACGTTATTTTGCCATCGGCCAAGTGATCCTATCGTGAGATTTGGCTATTTTCTGCATGCTGGTAGGCTTCCAGGCAGATCAATTTCATGGATTTCCTCAAAACAGCAAAGAACGAAATGAGGCAGCGGGAAAAACGGGGTTCCGCTTCTGCGCCCGGCTTCAGAAGCACCTGTGCACGTCGTTGTCTATGATTTTAACTTATTCCTTCTCCAAAGATCCAATAGTGCGTTGGACATGGTGACCACCAATCCACTGAAGATGAAATAGTGCTGCCCGTTGTGCCCCTGAACAGCTGGAGCTCTATGGTGCAAAACAGCCTAGCCGACCAAGGTAAGAAGAGGAGCATTTTGGAAAAGCAATTCCAAAGCAAAACACACCATCGAACACGAAACCAGCGTTTTCTGTTGCCCTTCTGTTTGTTTTGCTTTTGTCTATTCTTTCATTTTGCATTTGTCTTGCTTGTTGTTGCATTTCACTTGCGTTTTGCATTTGAACATTTTGCCGTGTTGCCTCGCTTTGCACGTTTGCACGCTTGTGTCGATTTCTTTTTTGTAATGTTGCAAATTTATGGCATCAGTTTGCATTGTTCCTGTCTTTTCGGAGGAGGCTTTGGGCGGACGGACTTTTGATCGCAAGATGCCGGCAGCTTCCAGGTGAGCATGTCTTGCTATGGCGACAAGCCGGCAGACTTCATCGCCATGCAGCCCAATGGGCAGATTCCGGTGGCCGTGATCGATGGAACGGTCTTGAGGCAGAGGGTCCCGCAAGCCGGAGGGTCTGGGAGGGCTGTGGAGGGTCCGGCGTTCCGTCCTGAAGAGTTCAACGAGTTCCACAAAATTCAACGAAGGTTTCAACGACTTTGAAGGAACTTGCTTTTTGGATTAGAAACTGGTTTTTCCATGGCAGTTTTTGACAGTCCGGATGATCTAGTGTTGCCTGAGCAGTACCATCGGCCGTCCAGGTTTATTCAGCCCATTGGACGGTGTGGGACTGCTGGAAATGCCAAACAAAACAGTTGGTTGCGGTTGCGGGTGTGCTTCCGTGATTCTCGGGTGGTAAGAAGGTTGGTCTCGTTCACTCCTGATCAGCCTCGCCGGGTCTGCTAGCAGCTAGCAGCAGGTCTTCTGATGCCATCATTGAGCGCCACTGAGCTTAGCAGGTAGCAGGGAGGAGTTCAAGCACTGGGACGACATGAGAAGGTCGCTATTCCAGGCTATGATCAAGTGATGAACACCAAATATATTTATAAATATACACCTAAATACCCTAGAAGTCCAAAGACTATATTTGACCGACTGAAGAAGAGGAAATTCCTTTTCGGGTCACCTAAATACAATTCTTTATAGACTTTGACTCCCAGGGAATCTCTACATCTAGTATATGATACTGGTACAATTATGACATATTGCGTTTCAGATGCGTGGCCTCCGGCGCATTTTACAGCACAGTTGCACTTTCGTAGATCGTCGAAACAAATAAAACTCTATTCGATGAAGCAAGCTCAATTGCATTCCTATCTCGCGATGACCATAGAAAGATGATTCCATTCAGTGAGTTTCATATGCAAAGACGACTTAAACTAGGTCCACCGCCCATAGAGGGCCGTAGGTCGAAATTACATTTCTGATCACCAGCGTTCAGAGTTTCAAGGATTGAATTACGTAATTACATTGGGAAACCATTGTTCAATGTACTCACCAGTAGAATGGCAGACAGCAACAGTTAAAAGAAGTTGCCCCCAACTATCGTTTTTTTTGGACATGTTTGGAGGGATATGTCTTCGATAATCTGCTGGATGCCACTGCTTCTCCAAGCATGGCGAACGATGTCATACAGGGGGGAATGTTTAACAGGTATGTGAACAACCTATTGGAGAAAACAACCAGCGCGGATGTAAGAGTATCTGGTACACGCCTGCGTAGTAACATTTCTTGTTAGAAGGAGTGCCAAACTGTAAGCAACAGCAAATAGTTCTCATGCAACGCATCAAAGTTGAGAGGCCATCTATCTGATTGCAATACAATGTCCAGAGTGGCAGCCACAAAAGGATCAGGGGTGGAAGCATCACAAAAGGTCTTCAACAGGCTATCAATGTAGAACGGGTGCACCTCAAACCACCCTTTCAACAAGTGCGGAACTTCATCCACCCCTGTCCAGTGTCCCAACCACAACAAAAAAATTTAAAGCAAGAGACAAAGCAGAAAGAAAGAACAACCGCACCATACTGAGACCTGGAAAACTGCGGTATACAACGCACGCGCTTAACGGAAAAGACACTGTGCCAAGAGTAACGCATTAAAAACATACATTGATGGAACATATAAGTACTGAGTACTGTACTTTTCCGGGGAAGAGACCGTGACTCACAACCTATACTGCATCGACAACGGACGTTATTATCCCAGCCCCACCGCCCCCCCACCCTCCAGAACCCATGCTTATCACAAGAAAACCGCATAAAAACTTCAAAAACAACACGAAGCGCCACGGCCCTCTATGGGCGGTGCTCCAACTTCTTGGACACATTTTACGCAGCGACAACAATGATCCAATGAGACGAGTTTCCCTTGTTTTTGCCAGATTCTGCACAGCAAGCTGACTCGTCACTATAAAACATGTTTACGCACACACTTTAAGACATTATTATGAACATAAGACACAAGTGAATGATCAAAGAATCTATGAAGCAGCGCCTTAAGCGGACAATTTTAGCAATCAGTCTCGTGCTGCGCCAACGCCTTGCTGCACAATCGTCGAACTCAGGTCGATGCGAGGTGTGGCTGAAACATATTTATCGCCGATATATGTATATTGTATAATTATGAGACATGTACTTGACTGCGACATCAAGTACTGAACTACCCCAGCAGCCGCAGTAGTAACAACAGCAGCACCCAAACCCAGACCTGACGGGCGGAGGAAGAGTGGCATACTGATATCGATTTTGAGTCGAGTTCATCCAAAGGCAATCTTTTCCTCCAGGAAAAGATGATCAGAACATCTCCGGTTCCTATCATCTACATGGTGCTGAAACATGATTTTGCACTTTCACATGTGTGACATTGTGGGTTTTCCTTTCTTGTTTGGGGTAGGGTGCTTCTGGTGTTTGTCATGGCAATTGAGGGCTTTGTTGTTGCAGTTAAGGTCTTGGGGGAAAGGGTCTGTCGCGGTTGACATCCCTGGCTAGGGCTTGTTGCACTTAAACCTGAGTCTTTATTTCTACTTGTGCATAGAGATTCTATTGCTGGCAGCTTCTTGGTTTAGGCCGGATATGTTCACCGTTTGGGCCGCAGCTGGGCTTGTGAGTGGATGCTCCAGCAAAAAAGAGAACCAAGTAGAACTTGGCCTTGCCTACAGAGTATAGAGGAAGCCTTGTGCTTTGTGTCCACCCTGTAGGCAAATGGTGCCTTGTTTGTTTTCCAATGTTTCACATGTGGGTGCGTCTCAATTGGGGACGCCGGCAGCCCCTACACCTGGACCCTGTTCAACACACCGAAAGCACAAGGGTCCTTCCGAACAGGGTTCCTATTTTCTTAGTAAGTCACCATCCGAAAACGGCAAGGTTTCTGCCTGTGATGCAACGGGTTGGCCGAAATGAGGCGTTCTCCAGATGCCGGGTGCGTCGCCTCAGATGGACCAGCAGCTGGATCCCTTTGACCACCCACAAAGCACGATGCTTGGGTTCAAGCCAGGCGGTTGGGCGGCATGTTCTTTTTTTTGGTGCAGTTTCTGTATTTTGACATGTTGGGAGGTTTGATTCCCACAAGCATGAGATCGCAGAGACTTCATGTCACAAAGAGAGAGTGCGTGTGTGTTGCCTTTTACATGAAAACTTGTGCTCAAGATAAGATAGACTTGGAACACGTGAAACAGGGTTGTTTTACAAGTGGACCTGACCTAACTCATTGCCCAAAGGCTGAACTTTTACCTTCACAAACTCCACTCGAGCCTCTCACAGTGCTGTTTGAAGGGCTGTGCAAACGGAATTCATGACATGGTTAGCCTCCCAGACATACATTATTACAGTTACCGGAGCAATGTTGCGGTTAGGTTTCAGTTGGTGCAGGATATCAGTCATTCGATCTTTTTGTTCATCGGCTTTATCGTTTTGATCAAAGGGGACGAGAGTGGAGGATATGGCATCTCCAAACTTGTGCCGGTCGCATCAGCGACTTGTCTATCAAAAGTACATTCCGAGCGGCCTGAATAGGAAGACGGGGAATGCCCTGGCCGGATAAGGGTTCAACGACTGTTCATTCTGCATGTTCCCCAATCTCAGGAATCTCTTGCGCCTGGAGCGGATGCTCTTCTCCAGCTGGCTGGGTTGGCTCTGCCGGGGCGGCGGCCGCAGTGACTTTGAGCGGACGCTCCGCAAGGCATGGAACCTTTGGGTGGTCGGCCTCTGGAATCCCAGTTTGAGATCCGCTGTTTGATTTGAATATTGTTGGTTTGGCACGGGGTATAGTGGCACAGGGATGGTGTTTTCAATGCCATGGCCGCGGTTCGGAGGTGGAGGATACCTTGGCGGCCAGCGGCGGCCCCTACTTCTTGGGCGAGCGCTTTTCGCTCGTGGACATCATGTGCTCGGTTCAGCTCACGGTTCGCACGGTTCGCACGGTTCGCAGTTCTATTCATCCTAAAAGGGGTCCACGACGGCGACGGAACTGTGCTCCAGGGGCTGCGGAGGTTGTGCTCCCAAGCGGCGCACGCGGTTGGGAGTTGTTTTGTTTGAAGATCACGTCAACTCTTGGCGGGCACCTTTTGTTCCCAAAGGGCCAACAGCAGTCGGGCTTTATTGGATCCCTTGTTAGGTGTGACGTTCACTAAATGAGACAGTTCACAATCCACAAAGGTAAACAGATGTAAACAGCATGAGAACTTGAGAGAAAGGTCAATACACACATGAATGAGCATGATGTTGAGATTGATCCAAAACGGTTTTTGGCACGTTGGTGAGGGGAACCCTGGAGCTGGCTTTCGTCCAACCAGGGAGGAGGTCCAAGGGTTTGGGGCCGGACGGTTTTAGGCACTGTTGAACAGGGGAAAATTTTGTTCAAGACCGGTCTGATTTGAAGAGGTACACCCCCTTCATCGAGCGCGCAGTGGCATCCCTAGCTTACTTCAAGGTTGGAAGCGACCGTCTGCGTGGATGGGCCAGTTGTCGAGTGGCATTCTTCACACTGGACACAACTTTTTGCGCAATTGTCTTGATATTCATGAAGATCTTGCCTCATGTGGGCTGTCTACGTTCATTCTGGCATGTTTCGCCCAATATTGTCCTTTGAGGCTTGGCATTTCATGGCTGCTCTTCAAGGGCAGCCAGACCCGCACCCAGCGAGACCCAGCGAGGGCCCGATCCCCTCACCAGGGCTACAACATCAGGGAGAAGCTGCTTTTTCCTGCGATCAACCGCTGGTTTGACGCCATGGAGACGCCCTTCGGCTTGCACCTGGCTGGACGTAGTGGGGGAGTTTTTGTCACCGGACTTTTGACTGTTGAGTGCCTTTTCCTTCTTGTGGGTCTGGCGGAAGAGTCGATGGGTCCAAACGGGCGGCACGCGGCACAGCAAGGCGGGACAGCTACAGGGCCACCAAGTCGGACTACTACACTCACAGCCACGACCTGCCACCCCAACTGGGCGGCTGTCAGTCAGAGCCGGGTGGTCAGGAGATCCGCGAGGCGGTGGATGGTGGAGACTGGAAGCGCCTTGGGAAGAATGGGCGGGGGGGGCTGGGTATCAGTGGCATGGTTGGGTCTTTGGGGGGAGACTTTAGAGACTTCGGCGGAATCAGGCTGTACTGAGCCGTGCAGGGTTGGACTGAGCCAAGCGTCTGAGGCTTCCGCTCAAGACGTCTGTGGAGCCGGAATGGTCCTGGATCTCTTCGAGAGATGCACGCCACGAGGCGGCGGAGCGGCTGATCCACAATCACGAGGCCGGACGGTAGGGGTTGGGGTTGGCGAGGTGGCACATGACATGCATTTTTTTGGGTAGTGTAGGGATGGGTATGAGGGTTGTTTGTTGGGGGAGTTTTGGACATGGAATTGAGGGGGGGTTGATGCACATGAAGCTGTCGGATAGATGAAGGCACCCAACATCTGAAGGTTCTGATTGTGGCAGTGGGTCAGACTTGCAGCGGCCAGTCTGCAGTGAGGGCATGTGAGGGCCCATTTTAATTACACCAAACTAATGGGGTCACCCATCTTCCGTTGTCTGGACCGTGGCAACCTTCGCCCCGTTTGATGCGAACGTGCTTTCTTCGCGCAGCCATTCTCAGTTCGTCGACTCAGCTCACGGAATTCCAAAAAGACTGGTCGACTCGCCCCTCCAGCTGTGGAGAAGAACAGATTCTGCGACTCCGAAAAGCCAGGCGGTGTCGCGCTTTGCCGCGCGCGCCAAGAGTGGCCCTGGCTTCCCACCGGCCTGGGCGGAGCTGGCGGATCCCAACGCACCTGGGCGGTGGACGGGGGGCCTGGGAAGGCACGAGGGGGTGGAGCATGGTGGAGCGACTGGAATGTGTATGTCATGTATGTGGGTGGTGGCCAAAGAGAGAGTTTTTCTCTTTACAATTTTGCAATGGCCCATTCTTTTGGGTGTTCAACGTTGGGGTTTTCACAGTTTCCAGGTGAGGGAGCCATTCTTGAAGGAAGGCCAGCAGTGAAGCTTCGTGGCTGGAAGCGTGGGTGGATTCCCCCAGGCGAAGCCTGCGGAGAAGTGGGTCCCAATCATTGACATGTGCCTTGGCTGGGACTGGGAACACCACCAGAGTGTCGGTGAACACCGTTGTGATGTTCATTAAACTTTTGTAGAATCTGTGTATAAAGGTTAGAATGATTCAGCGTTTCTTGCAACTGGTCCAGGGTCTGTATGTGTCAATTCAAGGTGGGGCTGGAACAGCACCCACTTGTCCATCCAGCTGCTTTGCGAATTGCCTGGCCAATGCCACGCATCTTCCCCACAGAAGCAGCGCACGCAAAGAACATCTAGGCGACACCCCAATCATAGTCATGTGAATTTTGGGTTTCGTGCTCATGTATGTTTTGGTGTAGAGAGCCATCAGAGCCAGACCTCTGACATGACGGGTGTTTGGGGCATTTTGATCTGGTTTTTCCCAGCTGAACTAAATATCCCAAAGTGTCAATTTGGTACCATCAATGTTTGGCATTTGTTAGTTTCATCATTTCACGAACAAAATCCTGCTCCACCTTAAAGTTCTGAAAGAGGATCTCCCCCATTCAGTGGCTGGGTTGACTGAGCGCTGGAACCAGTTGAAAGCGCAACAAAGTCTTGCTATCCCGCCCCTAGTAGCGTCCTTGCTCCTAGTAGCGATGACAGGAGCCCCTAGTAGCTTCCTTGTTACTAGTAGTAAGGATGCTCCTAGTAGTACGGCCAGGAGCCCCTAGTAAGTAGCGTCCTTGCTCCTGTTGGGTCTCGCTCTTCTCCACGAAGCCTCGAAGCCTTCTCCATGGTGCCCAGTTTCCTGCGGCATGCGGTGGATTTGCTGCTTTCGGGTGATGCAGAGGCAGCCGACCGTGGCTCGGTGAGGCAGCCGACCGCCTTGGGGTGAGTGGTGAGGAGAGGAGGAATCGCTGTTGGGTTCAGTACTTTGAGTGCTTCGGCAAGCCAGTGAATGAGGGTCAAACGGCAATGTAGACTAGAGGTTGTTGCATGGGGTTTGGTCTGAGAACACACAGCAAATTCATACCTTGTTTGGTCATTGAGGTTGACAATCACTGTGACGGGTGCTGACTGCGAAGCCATCTGCGATCAGACACCTCCACTATCGTACAGGTTCAGTCGATCAAATCTAGGGTGGATATCTGTGGATTTCTTTGAACAAGCCTTCTCAAGGCTTGAGTCCCTTCTTGCATTCTTGTTGGATTCGTGAACATCAAACTTTCCACGCTCAAAAAGTAGTTGAAGCTTGACAACCGCCACAATCGCCACAACCTCTAGAAGCGCTTGGTGGTGAGTTATATAGCTAAGTCTCGAGCTGGATAGAAATTTCCTCCCCCCGCTTACCACAACACGTCGCTGAGGCGATGAGCCCACGCCCGAGCGGCAGCGCGCCTGGGCGGCAGCGGAGGAGTCCTTGGCCTCTTTGGGCCGTGAGGACCGTGACTTGGCTCGGTTTGGTGGGTGCCCCGTGGGAAGTGGTGACTCTGCAGACTCCCCTTTGGAAGTGGAGAACACTTGAAACACTCCGTCTTCAAGGGGGCACGCAGGAGCAAAAGAATTTGACGGAGAGAGCAACTGATCAAACTTAAGACAGCCATAGAAAGATTGGTCATGTTAAGTCTTCAACCCCCTTGATCTTCACCCACAGGCACCTGATAGCTATCTGGGACTACTTGTACCAAGTCAGCTCAGCCAAGCAAGATGATGTCTTGCAGGATCAATCTGTCCGTCTCACACCAATTGTAAGTGCATGGACAGGTGGATCTTGGAAGTATCCAACATTCGTGAAGATAGATAGTCAACCACGCCCGACCACTGGCAGGACGATGACTAATTATTGACAATGATCAATGCCCCTCATGAGCTTCATTAGGGCTTTCAGCAAGCGAGCTCCATGATGTCTCCTGGGTGTGCAAAGTTGGCGTTGGTATGTTGCACATCCATAATACATTGTGTTCACTAATGTCTGTATGCGTTTGGGCCACATCCAAGACTTCTTATGTCGATCTGCCACCCAGTGCAGAGCAGCCAATCTAAGCCTGCGCAGGGTACCCCAAGTTTTTTTGCAGATGCAGATGCCGAGAGCCACCCAGCTTGAAGACACCAAGTGAAATTGCACGTGACATCCAGTACTCACTTGCACTCGTTCTGCGCCCCAGCAGGCAGTATCAAACAATATCAAACCGTTGAAGGACCTTGATTGACCCGTCTTAAGTTTCACTTCTTTCCACTGTGTTAGCATACATTTAAGAGTTAGATCACATAGGATCACATAGGATCACGTAGTAGTTCACTTTTGTTGATGGCAATTGAATCGTTTTTAGGTGCCGACCTGGCGGAGTGCCTGAGATACTTGCAACAACGGGTAGGTGCGGAAGTTTTCCACGCGACACGAAGACACGCGTATTTCCGTCCTCAAATGGTCTCTGTGAAGTGAAGGTCGGTGAGGAAAACACCTACCTCAACCGGGTCCGCGACATGTCCGCGCGTTCCTTTGGGTGTGGTGCAAACCGATCCATTAACAAGAAGCTATTAGTAACAAGTGCATCGCTTCTAGTAACAGGTGCCTTACTAGTAGTAACAAGTGCCTTACTAATAGTAACAAGAAGCTATTAGTAACAGTTTGCCGTCTTCCATCGACTCGAAGAATCCGACGTGTTCGCCAGGCGTGCCCCGGGACATGTCGCTGAACGCGGCCCGACGGCTGCGCGCGGAGCTGGGGAAGTTGCAAGGATGAGGCGGACAATGCCGGTGGCTCGAGGCGGCTTTTTACAGAAACTAAGACCACCGGACATACCGGACCATACCGGACCAGCGTCATGTAGACTCTTGACAAATTTATTGTCCCCCATCAGAACAGGTTTTAACAATGTTTTACCATCCATGTCTGATTAATCAAGAGTCTACGTGAAAGGTCCTAGTCATGTCATTTAGACCCACTTCCAGGTACCAACCCTTTGCTTGGAGAGTCGATCCACCAGTTGTTCGACCAAAGCCACCGGCAGTTGTTCGACCCGAGTCGATGGAATTTTCGCGTTGGAAGTCTTGGACTCCCTGCTGTCGTGGAAGGTGTAGTTTTTTGAAACTGAGAGGGCACTTGTGTTGAGAGCATCCATCCTTGTTTTGGTCGCCGCGGTGTTGGGGAGAAAAAGGCTTTCGGCCAGCAGGTATCCAAACCCGCAATTTTCATGGATGAAAAAGGGCGGTGCGCTGACAGCTTGCAATTTGTCCTGGTTGCAACACCATGGCCAATCTTTGACTTTGGTCACACGGGCTACCCACCTGCCACTACTAAGAATCTCTAGAAGCTGTCATTATTTTTGGTGCTTGTCATTTTTCCGAAGATCGTGTGGACGGTCGTTGTTTTTGAGGTGTGCCAGTGTGCCGGGCTATGAGGCGGTAGTGGGGCGGCCCCTGGAGGTCTCCGTGGAGGCGATGAATGAGGAGGGACGCCGCGTGAGCTTCAGCGCCAAGGGATGGCAGGCAGGGCACGAGCCAATTGGGGGCAAAAAGGTGGAGTGAGCTGGAATTGAAAGGGGTTTGCTGAGGATTGGTCATGTTTCCCATTTTTCAGACAGCAAAGAACCAACACCGGCACCTGACCTTTGTTGCATAGTTTGTGTCCTTTCCTTGAAACCCTCCAAGCCAAGCCTGTGTGGCTCACAGCAGTTCCCATGTGTGGACCTTTGTTGGAGGCTCGGCAGTTGCAGCACACGGTGGACATTTTGGAAGGTGTCCTTTATGTGGATCGTTTCTTGGCGGTGTGGGATATGGTTTGGAGTGGCGTGAGAGTCATTAATACAGTGATGTGCGAAGGTCTCAGCACAGACGAGTGAGGTATGGAGACAAGATCCTTCCGAAGAGATACCGTGGAGGAGTGAAACACTCAGCTAGGCAGTGCTGAGTTGGTCGAAGCCCATTTTCCATCACACCATCACAGATGGCTTTGCAGAATGATGAGGAAGTCGTGATCGCCCTTCCCCCCCCAAAAAATGCAGCATATTGGGCATAGAAATAGCATTCGAAGCATGGTCGTTGCGTCGAAATTGCTCTGGCTTCCAAAGTCAGACGGCAGACGTGAAAAAGAATTTATCATACACACGTCGACGGCCTGTTGAAGTACTTTCATCCTGATGAGATGAAGCGGCAGAGGAAGACTCCAGATAATTTGGGTCTTCAGCAAGGCGAGTGACATCGGCTTTTTTCTGGTGACCGTGTGACGTTTGCGCAGCGTCTCGCAGGAGGATTTGCCCGAAGGAGTGCCATATGGTGTGAAGTCCAAAGCCAAGGCGCGGAGACATGGTGGGAGTGGATTTGCCAGAATGTCCAGGTTGGGGATGTGGGGATTCCCTTCAACACTTCAACCGCACGTGTATCCGAATCCAGAGCTTCGATCAATGCCGAAGTCCCATGCATTGCATGAATGGCCTGTGTGATATATACCAACAAATGACTGCAGTGCCTTGCAACAAAAAGTTACTACTCGAAAAGCTCAGAGTTGGACTCAAGACTTCTCCTTTTCAGCCTCGCTCGCTTTTCATGTCTCTTGGGTCCATGTCGGACATCAAAAGAGGGTCTACGCCGCTACTTACGCCTTACGCCAACCCGGACTCTGCAGGTCGCCGATCGGACTCGTGTGGCGGCGGCTTCCGGAGGCTTGGGTTTCTTCGGGGGCCCAGGTGGGTTTCTTCTTGGAGATACTGTAGTTGGTACGTGCGAACCATAGATCATCCGAATTGGTGAGTCTCACAGCTCTAATGTTCGTGCGCTCCAGGTCGCAAGCGGCGGTCCTAGGGACTTCGCTGAGGCGAGCCGGGAGGTGTTGTCGCAGGCGAGCTCCCGGCCTTTACGTTACAACCAGTTTTTGAGTCAGGACCAGGGAAAAGTAGCGTGTTTGGCAGGTTTCTGCGCTGTGAGACAACACCGCTGAGGGCAGGGAGAGGGGAGCAAAAAGAACGTCATGCTTTCTTTTAAAACGCTTTTTCATTTGCAAGTGGCCGTGTCTTTGGAAGTCACTGTTTTGGCTTAAACATATGGGAAAGGCCTGTTTATTAACGAATCTCCATGGCACCACTTGTTCAATTGCAAGCGGCCCTTGATTCAAGTTGTCGTACCAAATAGTCTGGCTGTTGATCTGCCGGCTTTCGACCGGGACCTGTAGGCCGCATGGGTTGATGCTTATTGACAACAGCAACACTGTGACGGCTCTGCCGAACCCTTGTAGGGATGGTAGATTCTACGTAGATTGGAGTGCCAGGCGTTTTTTCCCTACATGTAGTTTCGGTGACCAATATGACGTCAAATGGGCTCAAACGTAGTTTATTTGTTTGTGCAGTGTCCCCCAAGGCTAGACTGAAGTGCTTGATGGGCGAACAAAGTATAATAAAGTGAGTATTCGGGGTGTGGGGGGAGCCTGCCGGGGGAGAGCGAACAAAAAAGGGTGGTCCAAAATGCACCTTATGCCTTGGTGATGCGAGTGATGCCAAAAAGGTTCAATGGTGTCACCAAGTGCCCATGTCCACTCCTTTTGATCAATGATGAGGATTGTCACCAACTGGTTCCCAGCGGGTGTGATTGGTATTCGTTGGTATCGGATATATTTCGAATTGCAGGATTGATAAGATTGACTGATTGACAGAGCAAAGACATGCAAAAAACATGATGATTGAACGCAAAGAGAATGGACTGCGCGCACATGTCGGCAGAATGTAGACCGTTCGAGCTTCGTTCGCCCACCGCTCGATTGCAGGTGGTGCCCGAATCCTTTTCGCTGCAAAAGAAGGGAGATGCTGCTGCAGTCACCTGGTTTTCAGTGGAAACCAAGAAGCCTAGGTTTTGACTCTTTAACACGGGTTCCTTGTTTGGGGCGTCCTTGTTTCCGGCAAGTTGAGAAAACATGTTCCAACGTGCGATTTGTTTGCAGTATCATTGCACCGTGTTCTGATTTCTTCACATTGTAGACAGATCCTTCCGTTCTGTGTCGAGAGAACATGCGGGGTGTTCCGTCCTTCGATTTTAGGTTCACAAGCTAAAAGTTAGGTCCAAACATGCAGAATGGATTTCGACTTTCCACCGAGGACCAAAGGTGAGACTCCACTCCATTTTGATCCAATCCTTGTCCCTTTCACAGTTGCCTTACAACACACTACACACAGTACAAATGCAACTATTACGGTACACATGTTTTTCTATCTTACAAAATTTGTACACATGTTGTTCTCCAGTTTTCATGGATCCTTTTGCTGGGCACCGGTTGGAACGTTTCTTTTTGCGAACCCTCCAAACATCCATGGGGTGCGGAACATCCGTTTCCATCGATCGGGGATCACCGCGCTGGAGCGCGCCCGGCCGTCTCTTCGTGATGAAGTCTTCGGCGAGCGATGACTCTTCCGAGACCGCTTCGGCGTGCGAGGCGGGGTGGCGCGTGTGCGCAGTGCGCAGTGCCGAGGTGGTGAGGTGGTGGAAAAGAGTTGTTACAAACAGGGCTCAAGTCTGTCAGGATACTCTCTTGTTGGTACTGGGGTTGAACCCTCAGAACAGACTTCGATGAGTTTGCGCGGCCCCCAGAGTTGTTCAAGACATTGTATCCTCTGTTGATGGGGTCTGCCCCCCTGGGTAGAAGATCACTGTTCTCACCTCCATGACTCCATGACTCCATGATAAAATGTTCCCGTGGCAGTGACATTAAAAACGAATAGTGTGCTCAAGCTAAGAGCCCACAACATGGAGCAGCTGTTCGACGGAAGGCCGTTCTGGTGGGGATGGGCGTTCTGGTCGAGTCTTCAGTCTTGACTGCCTCTTGCTGGTCCAAGGTGCAGCTTGATCTGAATGACGCAGAGGTCATTGGTTGCCGCGTCGCCGGCAGGAGAGAGTGGATCAATTGTGATATAGAGATCAATAGGTGATTCAACTGGCCTGTGGGTTCACGTGGTTCGGAGACGGAACCCCCAGATGATGGCTGGTGTGACACAGGAGGGTGGACTTGTCAGGGCCGCTGTGCCTCCAAAATGAGAGGTTGCGAGCGAAAATGTTGGGTCACGGTGGCAAAACCACCAAAAAAGAGAAACACCAGGATCAGGGTGATAACCAGAGGAGCTCGCCTCGCATGTTGTTGAGCTACCGTCCATGCATCCAGTTCCTTCTGCTTCACTCACAAGCGAACAGATCCATCTTGGGAGAAGATCTTAGCAAAAAGCTCCTAGTAGCTTCTTGCTCCTAGTAGTAAGGCCAGGAGCCCCTAGTAGCGTCCTTGCTCCATTCGTAGCGATGCCAGGAGCCCCTAGTAGCGAAAATTGCTCCTGGCTTCAGGGCTTCACTCTGCCTTTGTTTTGAATTCTCCTTTGGCTGACCGCTCGTGACGTCGCTGCCGCAGGTCCAATCCTTGGATCCGGAGATCTGTGAGGTGCTGGCGAAGGTGGAGGCGCACTCAAAGAGTTTTTGGGTTTTGTGGTTCTGCGGTGGTGAGGCCGCTCAATTCAAGTGCTTTAGATTGGCAACGGGGCGACCACTTTTGGCAGTTTGTTTCTTTGTTCTTTTTCAGATCAGCCAAGTAGCTTAGCCAGGTAAACCATCCAAATTAGGAGTAGCTAGGATAGCCGGTATATACTGTACCGTAGCTCAGCCAAGGCTTAGCTTGGCAAACCATACTCCAGATTAGGAGTGTAATATGTATTTTTGTATTTTCCCAAAAATAGGCTTCGCTGGCCCTGCACGGTTGCCTGCCAAGGGCAGTTGGAGACGCCCAATGTTCACTCTGGTAGCTGTTTTACACCAGCCATCAACTGCCACGAGACCAGCGGCCTAGACTAGCAATGCACTTAGCTACTAGTAGCGTCCTTGCTACTAGGAGTAATGGCACCTAATAGTTTCTTGTTACTAGTAGGAATGGCCTCCAACCTAATAGCGATGGCCTC